ACTTCTTGAAGTCGTGTCGTAGAGCCTTCAATCGCTAAATCATTCAATCGTGAAATTTAGGCTAGTTTTGGCTTGATTTATGTACCTCATACTACGTTACTAACGTAATATAAACTCCATACTGAGCGTATGCAGCAATAAATGACGTAAACGACTCTGTATGACAACAGAAAGTCAGTTTGTAAAACAAGGAAGATGTGGTTTAACCCCACATGCTACCGTTTGGTACAGGGCAACACCCATACTGTTGTATCGACGTATTTCGGAGTTGGGATAAATAAAATTCGATCCGCTATTTCGATTTATTTTCACCGGCAAAATACACCTTAATGCTCCATGAAATTATAACAATCAATGCTCTATTGAATGTTCCGTAATGAATGTTTGTTACCATAGCAACCATATAGAACAAGTGAGAACGTGCGGCACACCAGAGGTGGCTAAAGTAATTAATCAACGGTACATTGTAAGTTGCCTATGCTTGCTTGAAGAAATATACACTGAAGAAGTACCGAGAAGTGCATCGAAACATCGAGTTTTCCTTGCAAAATATAATCAAAGTTTGCCCGAGAGAGAAATTCTAAATATAACCGAGGTTTTGGAACTCCAATATTCTGAACGTGAATCTGTGTGAATGCCCAATCATCATGACTTGATGACGAGTTTTCTAAATCAATATTTTCAATATCAATGCACATGCAACCTATTTTTAAACGAGCTTTTGACATGCATGTTTCCGTAAATATTCTGCATCAGTGTCTTAGTGACATTTCATTTATAACATTTTAACTGAGTGCTTCCGTGATCCTATATCATCCACGGTGATCCACCTATGTCCATAGTAGACCCTAAGATGAGAGGGTTGGACGAGGAAAAAACTAACCTTACATACTGCTCATGAAACGCATATCTCTGTGTGTTTATATCTGTTCGCAGTCACACAGTACAAGACAATACATACATACATATACATAGATCTGTCGTGTGCCAAACCAGTCAAGTACTACAAGTGTCTTAATCCCATAAACCCACGCGTTAAACAGAAAAAAGTTAATCTAATATGTTTTCTCTCTCTGAAAAAAGTTTAGCTGATCCAAGCTACGTGTACTACTAGGGCGTTAAAAGTATTCAAAGAATGATTTTCTAGTCATTCTTTTAGCGTTTGGATCAGGCTTTAGACATGTACGCCGAAAGGACTTAGGACTATACCAAATAAACAATAAGCGTCCTAAAAAATAAACTTTAAAAGAGGTCAGAGCCAATGTTTGTGATATTCTAAAGTTAATCGAGAGCTTAAGAAAGGTTCCTTTAAGACTGAAGTAAGCAGAGTGACGTAGGTAAGCTAGTCACCACCTTAACTTTCGACTTCCCTCAAAATTCTGACGGAAGGCTGAAGTCCACTGCATATACGTACGTGCACTTAAAAAAACTTTAGATCCTCGAATTTTTTAGAATTTAGAAAATACCTGATCATGATGAACTGAATGGAAACGAGAACCAACAGCACATAGAGAAATGCAATGCAGGAAACTCTATATTGTTGCATCATTTGTAAATTTATTGTGATTATGATGATTCATTATATAAAGAAGCTTTAACTCTATCTGACTAAATTTATTGGAATAAATCACAAACTAAGTCAGAAAGATAAGAACATTATCGTCAAGGACTAGATATCTCGGACTTTCATCCTTAACCTGAACATATATGCCTTAATACTGCATGCTATACACTGAACCCTTCTAAAATTAAAGTCGTGTATTTGGAGATATAGAAATATTGCCTCTGTGAGATGATTCCTGATTGAGTTTGCCGGCAAACCGGTGAAGCTGCATATAATTAGCGTAATTAATAAATAAATTTATAGCGCCTCGCGTTTACTGTTTTACAATCGTCTTGATCATGCAGGATAACGTGTTTGAAGTATACCAGGTATCTTCAAGCAGCTTTGAAAAACAACCAGCGGTAAAAATATGTCAGATCTCTCAATCAGTCTGAGATGGCATCGATTTACGAAGGCAAATGAAAGATGATGTGTTACCTCGCCGATGTGGCCTCGGTTAAATACCGAGGCCACAAATCGGCTCAAATGCAGTAGCCATTCTGTATCCATATGGCTACCATTGAACAAAGGCCACGTCATGTGGCCTGTCAATCTAACGGCATTTCATTTTCAGATATTCTATAGTAATCTATATCAGTATTCTATAGCTACATAGTAGTTAGTATGTTCGTAATTTTTAATTTTTTTGCTGTTCTGCCACAATTGTGTATCATAAAACCTGATTAGTCTATATCGTAAAACCTGTATCGCAATTAATATTTTAAAAAAATTAAAGTCTTACCAATAGTATGACTCTATCTTTGACGTTGGTCCGCTCAATTGTAACTTCAGGATGTTTTGTGAGTATAGACTGACTTTTTGTTATATATACATGAATGCAATGATATTAATATATTCACTTTTCAAATACCTGATCAAGTACTTCCTATTCAACCCACGTAAGTATATAATCAAGGTCTTACATAGAAACGCATGATGTTTGATATACACCCCATTTGGGGAGAATTGACATTTTGACATTTTGATAATTATTACTTTCTCTAATCAGTACCGACAGATACTATATAAAAGCGTAATTTTGAAAATAAATTTTACTCAACAGCAAAAAAGTCAAGTTAGCTCAAGTCCCAGGCCGACTCTGTATATGACTGACAACAATTTACCTAAAAAAATTATTAACCTAAACATTCTATCTCCAAAATAAACGCGAGTTCAAGGAATGCATGTTTCCTGTATTTGAGAACACTTCAGGATTCTAGGGGCTTCATTCTGGATGTTCTAGAAAGCACATTTCACATGTTGCTATCATAACTGCATTGGTGAGGTTAGAAACGGTTACTATGTACTTTATTTAAGATACATTATCACTTGTGCTGTTACAAAGACTCATTGGGCATGTTAAACGTAGTTAAACACTGTCCAAATATGGTCAAGATGGCTCGCATTTCGAGGCAAAGCTTTTTACTAACCATGCATGGTGGTCCTATTAGTCTAATACTTGTATAGAATCGTCCTATGTAGCAAGGAATACTGAGTCATTGATCATAAAAATATTTATAAATAAAAGTACTTTTTTCGATGAGGTCACAACCAGATGGTGGCTGCTCAAGGAGGCTCTTAATATCCTTCTGTTACAAGACTCGTACGTTAATACAAATTAAGTTAGCATGCATCAGCCGCCATCATTAATTGAGCACTAAGATAAGTTATTTTAACGGATAAAAAACTGTCATCGCTAAAAAAGCTTTGCAGAACTTAATATATTCAAACAGAAACAAAAATACCCTAAAACTCTACGTACGTAATTCCCAAGACACGTAATTATGAGATGGTATAATAAAATAATCTGAATTAAAATATCACGTTTATGTTGGGTATATACTACCACGCAAATATTAGAATTTAGCTCGACATTTATGGTAAAAAAGTCTGGTCAAATGTTTTCAGTACCAGCTGCAGGGGGTTAGGAGGCAGCGGATGTTTATAGCGCTGTCGTATATTTTAACAGGGCAAGGTTTCGCCGGGTTTTTTAAAATCTAATTTCCTTAAAGGGCCAGAATATGGTTGCTCATCGATATTTACCTGTAATCAAGTATTGTTAGAGATAAATACACCCAAAAAACAAAACTGACCCACCCCGACCAATTATGTAGCTATTGAAGGCTTTGAACGATTCTATATCAGGTATACAGCCGGGAAGTCTAGTGGAATATATAAACTTGCAAAAACATTCCCTACTGTATCAAAATCATCCTTATGTACCCAAAAATATTAATAATATTATTTTATTAATATTATTAAAAATATTATTTTTTTATAGACAAGCACCTATATATATAAATGTTTAAATCTATTGAAGGTGAATATAGGCTTCACTGTAGATGCATGATTTTAATGTTTTTCCTAATCATATATATTGATTAATGATATAAATTAAAATTACTTTCACGAACGTGTGTATACGTGCTTATAAAAGACGCGACAGCGTCTATAAGACTGTAAAAAGGAATTCACGTACGTATTTCTACAATTGCATGAGTATAATGCATGCATGTGATATTCGATACTTGTAATAATCGTTCAGTTGAACTAACTTCTAAGCTTGTATGCATGTCATTGATAATGATAACATTTAAAAAGATACTACAACTGACCATATCTAGATTGTTCTTTTACGACAAAGAGTGTTAGATTATGTTTTTTGATCAATGGTGTGATCAATGATCAAAATGATTCAACGATTAGAAAAGATTCTATTCAGTTTTATGCATGCATAGCTAGTTAATGCTACCAATATAGCTATAGATGCTAAGATAATAGCTACATTATGATATCTATAAAACGTTTTGAAATCCTGGAATTAGCAATTTGAAAAAGAAACAGCAGTGGAAGATGGGAAAAGATTATATCAGTTAAACATCCGTATATCACTAATATCAGTATAGTTTTTTTAGTTATCTTTTGGGCTGAAGTCTAGTCATAAATACGTTATGGTACTTTGCCTCAAGAGCAGGCGATCGTGCATGACAAGCGTTCAATAACGTTAAAATATATAGATCACGAAATTTGCTTTTGACTGCGCCATTCCTAAAAAACTGTCCATATCGCAGGCGTAATTTCAACTAGGCGTCATTTCAGGTTCCAACTCACGTCTTAATATCATCCCACACATGTATACTGACAGATTTCATTTCTTTTAAAGCACTCGAGGTATGGTGGATTATTGCTTATATTAAGCATGGGAATTTGGCCTCATAAGAAGACAAAAAAATTACATAACTATTTAATTCCTCGCCCAAGACTATAGGAACAATGCCAAGTTGCCAACGGTCGATTGTACAAAGGCTGGATAGCGCAATCCACCGGATAGATGTCACATGCAGTCAATGAGTATGAGTGAGTTTTTTAAATACAAGCATAAGAATTAACAAGTTACCTAGAGATGAACGATGACTTTCTTTTCCTTCAATTAAACTGCTTTCTCGCGACTCTTGAAAGACAAATATGATTGAGCAGCACGGTAACTGCTTCAGCTGCATGTACGACCACGACAAGCTAGGTGAACGTTAATTGGGCAATGATAGCTGGGTGTTATTCTAGCCGGTTTCGTCAATTCGTGTCGTCTAATGGCGTAATGAGAACGTTCTTGTGGGAAAAGGTTGAGACGATGTGAAAAGTTTTACCTGTAGAATCCTATAAATACATCCTGACATTCCACAATTAATAATTTGACTCGCGAGAACACTTGACGGTTGGTTGACTAACTTGACTAGTAGAGGAGTAATTAAAGTTATAGGAATAAAGGAGAACAAATAAGCAATAGGCTTGGTTGACAACCCTGCATTCCATGACATTGTTGCCTGGTGGGTTACGAGTACACATAGCTAAGACCTATAGGTTATACCACGGGTTATACGTCGCATTTTCGTCACATCGAATGCAATTCAAACAATAGATAATGAGATGATAAACCTCATTTAGCTTCATTATCATCTCATTATCTATTGTTTGGATTGCATTCGACGCGACCAAAATGCGGTGTATAACGTCGTATAAAGCTTGCTGTAATAGTTATTTTGCTCATGTACCTGCAGACACTGTCCGCAAGGCAAAACTAACGCGCTGGCCGCCGCCCTATTCAAATTTGCTGCAAACTTATGACTGGCCTGCTTTAACACCTTTTTGAATTTGGTCGGTCCAACAGAATGCTAAATATCGCGGTTGGGATGCATTTTAATTCCCGAAGGGAACAATACTTATTTTCAAAGGAATTAATAATTCATGCATGTCTGGCAACTTCTGTCAAAAAGCATCAGTCAATTCCTCACCCTGTATTCACGCATATCCCGCGTTTAAAACTGACGGGTGATTTCAACAGTTGCGATTCTTTTGTAGCCAGCATAATGTAACCAGACAGACGAAATGGGTCAATTCATTTACTGTGAAAGCTATTTAGAATTTCCAGCGATGATCATCATCAGGCTAGCACCCGACTGGGGTTCAAACAGTGCATTTTATAGTGTCGTTGGACACGTCAACGCAGGCAGCGCCCTAGGCAATGGCACCATTGTTGCAGGGCCATGAATGAGAATGAATACTTCTTTCATAATATATTCCTCTGGCAATAACCTGCCATCAAATATATTTTATTTATTGTGGGTAGCTATATTCTATTATCTTTATCCTATTTAATATCATATATAATTATACAAAATTACATTAATCAACTAAAATATCAATGTACATATACAAAATTGTTTATTTGGTCGAAGAAGATATTTACTTATAGCTTAAAAATCGTAAATTACAAAGTCAGCAAGACTTCTCACTGTAAATGCATATTTATAAAACACGAAAGCTCTGAGATCTTGCCATTCCTTGGCATCAGAGTGAAGAAACTTAAACAACGGAAATATCCTGACTTGGCCGAAGACAAATAATTATAAAGAATATTAGACGGACACGTTTAAAGATATTTTACGTTTCAAATCGAATATAAATGAATTTAAATTATGTTTAATCTCCGCAAGTTATAAGACATTTTCGTTTGTCGTATTTCTTCACATCCAAGTAACAAAAATTGTACTTTATGAAAAGTTTAATTGTGAACGAAACACACAATTTAAAACATTTAACCCACACTTGACTCTTCCATTTTCAGTACTTGATACCAAGAGTTAGGGAATTAAACATCCAACTCAGAACAGATCAGAGGTAAATGTCAAGTTGGCAACCTAATCAATCTTTGTGATGACGAGTGATGATATAACTATCAGGCGAAAAACGGAAAGATGCAATCGAGAGAGACACGAGATGCTATTTATATACATAAGACTTATGAAGAGGGATTCGTGTTTTGACTTGAACAGATTAAGAGACATGTTTTCGAGAAAACAAATTCCTATATTAGCACAAAGTACCATGTTTGGGGAAAGAACTTCAGAGGAATTAAGTCCTGGTCATTATTACACGTAGTTGTTAACTGTGATAACGCGCTTGGTGAATTTCCATAGGATATCTCAATTGGTTATGATATGAGAATCAACTGGGACAGTGAGAAGGGGCTATATTTGTGCAGATTCTGTAATTGAGTACTCTCCGCTCCCTTTTTTCAAAATGTCTTGTAGTGAAGTAGGTGATGGTCGTTCCGATTTCTTTCTCTCAGCTTGTTCCGATTTCTTTCTTCGACTGCGAGTGCTTTCTGGAGAATCGTTAACTGAAACATAACGTGTGTACAATGTTTCAGAGAGACTTCGCTCTCGTGGTTCACCAAGTACTAGCTGACGATAACGCTGTTCATCCATATCAACCGGGGGCTCACTTGGTGATTCAGGCGCCTGGCGAGATTGCATGTCATATTTACCTTTGTACGCTTTTGGTCTACGAATAGAAATAGTTTAACATAATTACTTCATATTAATAAGACAGACCAGTTCAACATTGCTGTTCTTCTTAACAAATTTTAACAAAGAAATATTGTCAAATCACAGAGCTTGTTATTCTGCCCTTCTTCCTTCGCACACATTGACAAACATAGTCTTTCGCTGCTTGAATTTTCTTTTTTGCAAGCGAGTGCAAGAAGCAAAAGACTCAAACTAAAATATCTCTGTTGAACACTCCACCAAAATATATCTCGTTCGAAATAGCGAAGGCTGCGATATTTTGCATGGCCATATAAATATGTATGTTCCTATTTTCCTGATTTTTAGTGGGTTTGCCTGAAATATATTAATTCAAACTTACCCTATGTAATTTGAGTCATTTTTGGGTTAAAATGTTTTGCAATTAAGATATGGATTAATTAGTTGGATTAGTTTATTATTTTGATGCTTATTTTTTAAATATTACTACAGACATTTATTAATTTATAATTTATTATTATAATTATTTTATTAATATATTTCGGTTTTAAAACTCTATCCATTTACAAAAGATGTCGAGGATTTCTTAATCGTCTTGTTGTGTAAACAGAATTTATAAAATGGAATTGAAAAGTCTAGCTACGTCTCTTGTTCATCCTTTTGTTCATCGTATCCATTATTGCTCACTATTTGCCATTGTGCCAGAAGCTGGGGATTAAAGAACAAATAAATCATATTTATTCATTGGATTAGAAAAAAATTTAAACATATTAATACTGGATTACATTTAAAACAGCTCAAGCACGGTGCTGATTCGGTGCACGATTCTTTAAAGTCAGAAAAATACATTACACAGTTTGCTTGCGAATTGTGCATTACTCTCTCCCTATATATATTATATTATATTAATGGTTAATTTGTTAGTGCTACGGTTAAATTTTATTTTTAGTGTTTTATAATTGTGAATTAATAGCCTTTAAAATATCTAAAATTTTGGAGGGAAAACATGAGAATAGAATGCAAGGATATAAAATAAGGAGGAATTTAATCAGTATAATACAGAAATTAGGTTTGAGGAAACTTATAGTTCACAGAAAAAGAGATTATTGTAAAAAGTCATTCACGACAACTTTTTTGATTTGTCGAATGTTTGACACCACATTTCACAATACAGCCCTCAGAATAATAGACATTTCCCATAATGACTTCAAACGCGGAAAGTCTGATATTATACAAGACGTTTGATTGGCTCAGCAAAACTAACGAGCCAATGAAACATCTTGTAGTATCAAACGCACGCGCTTGACGTCATTATGAGAAATGTCTGTTCTATCGCTGTTAACAGAGCTTGACTCTTGAACTTTACCCCTAAGATTTCTTTAGTTTCTTTTAAAGCATGTTGTTTTGTATATTTCCTGTGTATTTCCTATTTTTGTATAGCTATGTCCCCGTGTTGACAATATTTTTGTTACAGATTATGCAATTTGATTGTTTTATCGGCAGAGCTGTAACAATACACACAAAATACATAAAAAATATCTTACTTAAGAGCTGCCCCCAAATTTTTCAGATTGAAACCACTTGATTTCTTCTTGACCTTTGGATGTACTAAATTATAATCAGCATTGCTTTGCATTGTGATTGGTATAGCATCTTCACTATTCACTTGCGAGCCATCAGGGTGAACTGATGATTCAAAATTGTTGTTAGGCCTGAAATTATGGAATACAATTATAACTACCTTCAAATAATATGAATCAATATCTCCACATCACATAAGCCGCCGATACATTTAAAGAAAACTATCAATATTTAATGCAACTACTGGAAACTCTTTTTCCTGACTTTCTCTACTTGAATACATTTAATGTGAACCAATTTTACATGAACATGATGAACTTAAACACAGCATGTTAAAGCTGCACTCGCGCATAAGAAACGAGAAACACGATAAATTTATTAAACTTTTACTTACATTGAAGCTAAAGGAGAAGCTTTAACATAATTTCCATGCCGACCATATTTCTTTACAACACCGTCAGAACTTGTTCTCCATTGACCCCTCACGCTATTTGGATCAAAACTACCAAGAGTCAGCGATTCCTTGTCATTTTTCTTACTGCGTTCTTTGGGAATTGGAGGGTTGAAATCTGTGAAAATATAAAAAGATCAGTTATCAGTTCTGTTTTCCTAATTCAAGGAAAATCAGCATTCGTTGGCAAGTATTAGCATGGCATGAAAATTTTTACCAATCAATCTTTCATTAGAGTCATCAGATTTCCGTCTTCGGCTTTTTTCTATTGGCGTCGTGCTAGGCCTGGGCAGAGTTTCTACACAGAATGAATGCATATAGTTAAAAAAGAACAGAAGATCGGAAAGAAATAAACCTGCTGCTTCTGTTGGGGGATATTTCTAATGGGGTAATGATCTTAATTTCGAGTCTATACACAATTCTTTACTATATTATTTTTTTTTACATTGTTTAAGAAAACTTACTTGTTTGAAGGGCTACTGGGTCATTATTTTCCTTGATTGCGCCTGCAAAGAGGAAGAAGATAAAAGGTTAATCTTAAAACATATCTCTGCCTGGGAAAGGTAAGAAAACTGTACAAAACGATGGCAACAAAATCCTCACCAACCTTCTAAACTTCTTGACCGTGTAACTCTCTGTTTATAAAACTCCGTCTGAGTGATATCAGCTTGTGCTAGTTTAAATCTCTTTTCCGACATTGACTGTCGCCCCATTCCTTCTCGGACAAAGTGATCCCCAGTACCTTCCTCGTCATCATCCGTCAAGTAATCTATCACGTCATCAATTTTAGACTCGTTCGAGCCCTGAGCGGATACAATCGGCTTTTCGTTTTTATTTTCAGGCCTAACTTCGGTCGCTGAAACAACCTTAGCCGAGCTTACCGTCGCTGAGTTCTTTCTCGGGCTTTGAGAGGAAACATCACTACCATCAGAATAGTCCGAGTAATTACTATCAGATTTCCGAGGAGATTGTGCAGTCGCTAATAAGTAATTAGGAAACTGTTTTGTATAGGGTGATGGTCTTTGTGTTCGAGGTGGTGGTGGAGGTGGTGTACCTCGAGGTATATTAATGGATGTAGGAGGACGTTTGCTCTCACGTGGTGGGGAGAGATTGGCACGTGAGTGATCAGATGACCTAGGTATTGTTGCTGGTGCAGAGGTACTTAATGCTGATGTTGGTTCAGCGACTGTACTGGTTGGTCTATTAGTGATAACCATTGGATGAGTGGTGTTCCATACCCTTGCAGTATCCGTAATTGATGCAATTACTATTTTTGGCTTCTCTTCTTTGCTAGAGTCTGGCTTATTTTGGGTTTCGTCTTTTGGCTGGTAAAACGGTGACTTGGACAAATGTTTCTTCGCTTTAGGCAATCTTTCAGTTCGCTGTCCAGTTCTATTCATAGCAATATAATATGAAGGATTTCTGTGAATACCATTACCTAACTTTGCCGTTCGTCCACGACCTGGCCTAAGTTCAGTGACTTCATCTTCTACTGGAGTGTTAATGTTCAATTTTCCTTCATCTTTATTGCTAGCATGATGATTACTTGATATGCCTCCATCTTTACTACCAGTATTACTATTTAAAGCACGATTGCTACTGGATATCACATCCCTAGTTTTTTCATTAAGAACTGGTTTAGCAAAAAGCTTCTTCATCTCTTCATTTTGATTTCTACGGTCAGTAGAACGATGTTTTACTTCATCATCTGAAACAGTTCTTCGTTGAGGTGAAGTATGGCGTACTTTATCACTGAAAATATTATTTTGTTTCACACCACGGCGCAGTTCGTCATCTGAGGCAGGCTTGACGTAATAGTTCGACGGTTTGAGCTCGTCAAGTTTAGAACGAGAATTTTCCTTGATATTTGTTTCTAAGAATATGTGCAATTTATTAGTCGGTGGATAGACGGGAGCACTGGTGGATAGACGGGATGGACAAAGGGCAGAAGTTCGGTTTTCAGTGATCACCAGTGTTCCGGGCGTATTCAACGGCACGATCACCTGCGTCTTATTACTAACTCTGGATGGCGTTGACTTAAAGGAGGGAGGGAGGGAGGGAGGGAGGAGGGAGGGAGGGAGGAGGGAGGGAGGAGGGAGGGGAGGGAGGGAGGAGGGAGGAGGAGGGAGGGAGGGAGGGAGGGAGGGAGGGAGGGAGGGAGGGAGGAGGGAGGGAGGGAGGGAGGGAGGAGAGGGGAGGGAGGGAGGGGGAGGGAGGAGGGAGGGGGGGAGGAGGCTTATAAAAATAATTAAGGCTTAAAATATACCTTGGTGATTGATTTTCTCATCGCTACAATCTGACCCAATCTCTTTGATATCTGCTAATGCTCCGTCAGGAACATCAATTCGTTCATTTCCAGTCCTTCCAACGTCAATCGCCCGATCACTTGTGTCTCTTTTTTGCTGTATAGTTTCCAGTTCACTCACGTTGTCCAAAATTTCTTGAACACTTCGTATCACAGTTACTTCTACAGATCCTACGATCTTTTTTTCCATAGCAGAACGGAGTGTTTTCATTGCTGACGAGTTTGACATCCCAGTTAGTTTGACGCCATTAACACTAATCAATTGATCGTTTGGTCGCATGCGACCATCCTAGAATAAAAAAAATTGCTTTAAGAAAAAAAAATTAAAATAACCTGAAACTGAAAGGGTCTCTAAGAAGAAACAGCACAAGAATCTGATATGCTTTCATCTTTGGTAAAAATGTAGACATGATATCAAGAAGAAAATCACAAGGCAGCAATTATGGGAATGTCTCTCAGTATATTACAACGCATCGATCAATCAATCAATCAATCAATCCATCGTACTGACCTGATGGGCAGCACCTCCAGGTACAACTGTTTTAACAAAAATTCCAAGATCATCTCCAGAACTTTCATTTTGTTCCGATATATTTGATTTGCCTTTCACTGTGATGCCCAGTCCCGCCGTGCCTGAAACAGGCAGCGGTATCTGGTAGGTGAGGATTTTATTACCGCGACTGTCTGATGGAGCTCGTTCTAGGTCTTTAATCTAAAAAACAATATTTACATTGACTTTGCATAATAAATTTCACCAAATAACAGGTCCTCGTTTCTTATATATCTCGATATCTACCAGTAAATCGAATTTCCACGTTTACACTTAAAGCTCTTTTCTAAACAAAGTTTGACCGCTTAAAACTTGGCTTTCCTCATCACCTGCCGTCATCAGGTAGGTAAATAGGAACCTTGTGCCTAAATTTTACTGGTTAACTGTACTTACGAGTTTCTTAGAGCCGATAGGAGATGTTACGGTGACTTTTCTTTGAACTAACAGTTTTACTTGTCCTTTAGTACTTCGAAGAACGTTGACAGCTTGCTCTTGGCTTTTTCCAGTCATTTCTGTCCCATTGACCTGGCGAATATTAAAAAGATAACAATTTTGACCTAGTGAATATTAAAAAGATAACAATTTTGACCTAGTGAATATTAGAAAGATAACAAGGAACTGATTCATTCCCAAAATGATACTGATTGTTTATTGTCAGTAAATCACTAAAAAGTCATCTGTTTACTGCGTAATGGGAAAGCTGAAGATGTCTCAATAATTAAACTTTTTAATATGCAGTCAACACAAAGGGGGAGGATATACAAAATCGTGGTGAATGGTGAGCGAACAGAACACTAGTATGTACACGTAGCAGCCACACACCTCTAATATTTGATCACCAGCTTGCAACTGACCATCACGTATTGCGGCACCATATTGTAAAATGTTCTTCACATAAATAGGGCATGCGCCACCCGCAGGATTATCACGTGATGTCACACTGAAGCCTAAACCATCACTCCCTAAAAAATTATAACATCCGTAGAATTTGACATCAATCACGCCCTGTCTCAATTGGCTATTCACGTTTGTCAACCAGAATTGGACTAGAATTTCTAAATCCCGTCAATTCTCGCTTTAGTGGGTATCTATAACTTCCGTTATACTTAAAAGCGACACGAACATGTGAGATAATATTCTACAACAATATTATATCATAGTATCATATCAGTTTGTGTCTTTTTCCGTTATGAAATAATATCAAATATTCTATCAAAGAAATTATACCTTACATGTCTTTATTATCTAAATCTTAAAATTCTTTAAATAAAGATTATCAAAGAAACTCCTCAGTCTCCGAAAGGTTGTTGTCACAACAACACCGACGCAGGTTCGGTTGGGAAAAGCAATCTATTCCCATTCATTATGTCATGGTTGTTCAGTTTAATATCAGCATAATTATAATTGAGTGACCTCAATCGATTTGAAAAACTCGAACATGATTTTACCAAAAACAGAGAGAAGAAATATGTCAGATAAGAAGCAGGCAGTGAAGTTTTGTCGCAGACGGGAACATAATGCATGATAATGTTTACTGTTCGTCGAGATTTCTCATTTGGAATTTTTTGTGACAATAAACAGAGATGATATATTGAGACTTGAGATATTGAGAGCCGATTGTGTAACTCTCCCATACACTCTGCCAAAATTGATTCATTTCTTTTGTCGGTATTTTTTTTAAGAAACAAAACAACTGTTTGCAGCGATGACTTGTGTCAACCTAACTTGTTTTTGCCAACGGATTAATCATCAACTGTTCCAACATTCTCTACATATGAATAATTATCTTTGGCACAACATCATGCGCCTCATTTCATCTCTATTCAAAAAAATTATCAGGTTGAAAATATTCGGTGATTTATTCCGACATTTTTGCATAGTTTTGATAATAGAAATATTAATGATCACTGAGATACAATATATTGTTTTTGTTCTCAAGTAAATGTATGTATTATCACTTCAGATGCGCAACAAAACTACTTTTATGAACGAAATGAAAGCACCGTGTGATCACTGCCTGGTTTTCTCTCTTACATACTCTGGCTACATTATAACGAGTTGTTTTATTACATTAGCGTTAATAAAAGCAGTCCTTAAGAATTATGCACAAAGATATAATCAAGTGGGCCGAGTTTCCTGGCCAACGTGGTTTTTTAAAGTACCAAAATACATTCCTGCATGTATTATTAAGTCACATAAAACATTAGCAAACCTTTTGAGAATTTATTCTGGTATAAGTTAATTTTGAAAAAACGTAGTGTAAATCGTAAAAATCCATTATTTTTAGCTGTTTACTTGTGATAGAAATGTGTCTAACTGTATTTATATACTAACCTTTTTGTAACTCGATAACAATCGTCTTCTCAACAATTCTTGGGATTGCGACATCAGTCTTATCTTGACTTGATTTTTTGTATGCTGGAGATGTGAAGGTTGGCAAAGGCGGTAAAGTATTTTTATCTGTTGAAAGGTTCAAATAAAATAAATGAATAAAATATTTTCTTACATCGGTACTAAACTACAATCTTAGACTGGCCTCTATAACCTTATAACTGAAATAAACACTGTGTATTGCGGCAACAATATCTTTACAATAATTTCACAAATATCTGCTTAATCCAGCGTAATATCTTAGAGAAATATCTTTGACAAGACAACAATTCATGTGTATTTTGCCCGACTGGTTTAAGTCACTATGATCATAGTGATATATTCATAATTATAAGAAGTTTATTTTAACCCACTGCCCATGCAATTCCGTTACAGACGGATAGTTCGTCTTTTAAAATCCGGCATAAATAAGGCTAGTGTTATTACCCTTTACAGTTTCGTAAAATAAGACGACTGACCTTCATCACTTATTCTATCAATGCTGGACTCAGCCGGTGAACTTGTACCATTTCCAGAGATCACGCGAAAAGATTGACTTTCAGGTAGAAAGGAATGAGATCTTGAAATACTTAGTTCAATGGTGTCACACTGTAGAGCTTTACTAAACGCTTCCTCTGCCCTGATAGGAAGAATATCATACAACATATTTTCAAAATATATCCAATGATAACAATGTTTCAAATTTGTGAAGCCAGTATTTAAAACAACATCCTCATAACGTTTCTTCTGAACAACAAATTCAAAGAAACAAACAATATTAAAAAACAAATTTCTGATGGCTCGCCAGACACTACCGCGACCAAGGTTTATGATGAAGTGAGAAAGATTTGGGCGAAACAGGTATGCTTAATAAGTGCTTTGCGGTATTATGTTAATTAGGGCGGCGAACTATTAAGAGTCAAGTGCCGTGATATTTCACATGTACTATTTTAACTTTTTAGTCTTTTCATGGGCTTTTTTGCTTAATTCTAACTCAAATCTTCAAACTATCCAATAAACATGATCGACTGAGTTGTTACTTCTTTGACTGACAAGATTCGACATTCAGAGCTTGAGCGATACCAGCACAATTTATATTCATTATTCACACACACGTCAATACTGCACAATAAGGCTGTATATGGTGATTAAAGGAGACATTGGGTAAGGAAACGTGCATGCATAATTCCGGTTATCAGTAAAAGATCGCAGGATATTACGTGGGAATAATGCTCCTTATCATATTACACGATGCAGGCCACTTACGAGGCATTTCCGTCTAATTTTATATAATTCATCTCGATTGTTTAATATCCTACATGTATACATTCTAATAAATATTAGCAAAAAATACTAGTGTTTCACAGGACTCCGTAAAACTGCGTATACTCAAAAAATATCGTAAGCCACAAGAACATCCTGCATGAGACTTTGTCGAACAAAACTAGAAAGATTTTAATAGAGACGAGGCAAAATTTCTCGAAAAATTAATTTTCAATATATAAAAAAAACAAAGTTTGCTTAATAAAAATAGTCACGTTCATCTTTGAAGAATTTCTTCGTATAATTGACGATATCCGTAATTTAATGCATTATATTCCGAGTGAAAAACTTCCCGTCGATGATTCTATTGTTTAATAAGATTGTAAAACTATTGTCGCGCGTTATTATATATAATTTAACGGAAATTGTACGTCAAAACCTTGCCTTAAACATTGTTCTGCTCGTATATGTATTTATAAAAGAAATCATCAAATGGCAGATTTTGTGGTCAGAAGCGAAAGGAAATTGCATAATTTTATTTAATTAACAGTTTCATTTCTTTTGAATATCACTACAATAAGTAAATTTAAACAATGCACATGTATAAAATATAATCAACTAATACGGTGAACGGCAACTGACTGCAGTGTATTAGAGTATATTATAAACAAGTATCCCAGCAACTCACCTTTCGTTACTAACATTCGTGAGATCTTGATTATTTACAGCCACAATGCGATCAGCTACCTGATAATAGACAAATGACATTGTTTATGTTTACTTGACATCACATTAAAAAACTCCTCTTTATATAAAACTATACGTTTCGTGCAACAATACTTAGGAAAATTTATGCAACCAAGAATGCCAATATGATTGTATTGTCTACTTGACGACGAACAACGGCAGGAAATGAAACGCTGGCTCTGTCCAAACTGCCGAATTCGCCCACACAACGTGGGTTGTAAAATTGTACATGCATGCAGTAAAATGCACAAAATGATTCCTTTTCTGACGTTTATTAAGTTTCATTTTTCGATATTTCAAATTAGTTGAACACATATATACCAAAGTACACAATACAATACACAATGTAATAATCTCCTACCTGGACACGACCATCCCGGGCAGCGCAGCCTTTAGGATCAATTTCAAACACAATGAGACCAAGTTCACTGCAGAAAAAAAATATCTCATGTCGGACATATGTAGTTCTGCAAAGACGCGAAATCTTTGCATATTTCTTCGTCTGGCATATATATTTATACAGTAATGAAATGCAGTACAGGGTTTTGACTCTTGGCTGGGAGAAATGAAAGCTTCTTGACTGGGAGAAATGAAATAAAATGAAACTTTCAGCAAATTATTCGACGGAATCATGACTTGTAGAACAACGAGGAAATCAAGCTGTGTAAGCATTCTTGCATGAGTTTGCATGGGTGTGTTATAGCAATCACGCATGCATGTAGTGCATGAGTTTGTTATGAACCCCGCATTGACTGAATAAAAGCAGGTGATACTTCCGCAAACAAAGAAACCTGCAACTACTGCCTACTGTATATTAATTAACACAATGGAAACTATTTGGAACTATATAAATATGTTCAGGGATAAAACTAAAAGTCCATCATCTGAAAATTTTTCCATGTACATTAATTCATAGAGTGTAGAATACTCAATAGCAACAATATAACCAGGGAGCAGCGTGGCAGCGTCTTCAAACAACTTAGCATCAAATGTGGTATAACAACTGCCTAAAATAGACAAAATACTTCTTCTCCTGACGAAGGCCCTCAGGTCGAAACGTCGAGAAGTGTTTTGTTTATTTTAGGCAGTTGTTATACCACATTTGATACTCAATAGCAACGTTACATAACTATAAAGTGAGAGGCACATACATCCCATGTACTTTATTATATTTTTACCTTTCATCAGCAGTTTTATATCCTTGAACCGTAATTCCAAGATTTTCCCCCATAGTTGGCTTTAAAACAACATTGACATGTTCGGAGTCCCTAATAAAGAATAGCATCATGGAAGAAATTACTGAAAACCAATTTTCAAAATTCGCATTCCGATATATCGTGATCACAAGTGATTATGTCGTGCAATTGTTTTTTTTATAATAATTTTATGTCTGGGTTTTATCGATGTGTGACTATATTCATTTTACGACAGCGAAACCTACACCTCCGACAGGAAAGGCGTTGGTTAATGAAGCTTTGAGAAGTGCAGAAGAAGTGGCATTTTCCGTATCGTTCTAGGTTTGATCTTAAAATAACTTGGCGCGTCCCACCACACTCTTAACCTGTCATCAACACCTAATTTTGTTCCAAAAACACAAACAGCTAAACTGTGGATGGATTTAAAATTGTTTACAAATTTTGTCTGGAAATTTCACTCATAAACACCGTTTATTCCTTGCAGAAAATCGAGACAATCTTTACAGCAAAAACAACAAACTTGACTTACTCAGGTTCAGATAAAGTCAGGGATATCTGTCTGTTAATTCTTGCATTAGAATCAGGAAGGGTATATTTCTCAACTGGTGATGGTGGAGCTCCGGTTGGTTCATGTCTCTTGTACTAAAAAACATAAAAAGAATGAATACCAAAGAACAAATGTTCCGATTATTGATCTTGTTTTTTATCTAAGGGAATCTTTATCTTGCTTTAAATATTATCTATTGTTAGCAGCAATAAAACGAATTGATATTCATAAATATATAAAACAAAATTGAGTATAAATTCTGTAAAGCTCTCGAAGCACCACAATTTCCATTCACTTTGCTCCACAAACACTTACCTCTGAATACAATTCTTGCATGTTAATCCATCGATCCAAATGATCACTTTTCAAAGACTTTCTTGCAGGTTCTCTTTTAAAAGCAGACATATCATCTTTTACTTGAGTTTCATCATTGTCATGTACAACACCTTCATAACCTTCGATATCTGATCCTGACGATCTGCCTTCCAAATGCCGACATCCATTTTCTCTTGCAGACTCATGACTTTCACCAGTTAATGTTGAATGTGAGCTGTGAGGTGAGAAGCCTTCTACGTATTTTACTTGCAAAGGATTTTTGTTTTTATAATCATCTAGTATCTTCTGTGGTTGTCTGTCGTTGGAATGGAGGTTGCTGGTAACTGGGATGCCTTCAATGGGCCCACGAGTGTCTCCTTGAAATATATCAGGGCTTGCAGTCCCTACAGATGATGTACTTGTTCCATCACCACCATTATGCCCCGGTCGAGTTATTGGGTTCTCTTCAAAAGACGCGATTACCTAAAATGATGAAAGCTTGCATGAAATTACATTTAATTATTCTTAATACGTTAAACTACATAGATCTCAGTATGTTGTAGCGACAGTAGTATTGCCAAGATGTAGTGCTGTAGACGCCGCTGACACACTACCTACAGTCAACTCGGGTCGAGGGGTCTGGGAAAAAATAACAAAATAAGATAATTCACAATAAAATATGAAAATTACACTGTTATTTTAATCGTTCTTTTATACTTGACAAGGTGGCAATGAGATTGACAAATACAAAGTTTTAACCAATGTAATGAATACATGATAGTATAAGCGCTAGTTTTACGTTGCATTAATCCTGTAAAAGACGCTCAAGACGGTTTTATAGGAAGAAAACGACCTTCCTAGCAGGCAGCAGCCAAGTTCATTTCGTAAGAACCGTTCGCAGCCTGGGCCTAACTTCTAGAGAGTAAGACCATGGATGGAACTCGAGAAGTAGATAATGGACAACCAGCTCAACTGAGTGTTTCCGCTGTAAATTCCCCCCCCCCCCACACACACACACAATATTTAATTGCCAGGACTGGTGATAACAGTAGTCAAGTCATGGCAACTCACGCCCTTACGCTATTCATGTATGTATATTGGTCACAGTCAGACATATATCAAATTCGCACAAAACCATTCACCCCACCTGACGGTGCAACAATGTAAATTCGTCAGTTATCATCAATCACATTATCATCTTCTCCGGCACGTACGAGCAATGACGCATTTAGGAAGAGGTTTTTGTCGAATTATGACGGCAAGACTGAGTGAGGGTCAAGCAACACAATCGATTTCCGCAAGTTCCCGGGTCGTGCGGAACTTCACCGCTTGATCTGTTAAGAATCATGGCTTTCGTTGGTATGACAAGAAAGCTTTATTATCATTTTGATAAGATCAACAGAAAAGACTAAGAATTATTTTGACAAGGCCATTAAGAAAACAAAGAGGGTAAAACAAAGTGCGAAGGTACAAGATGAGAAAAGAAAGGCCGAACGCTGGTGGCAAAATCGCTCCTTTTGTTTTATCTGCACCCCTGTTGCAACTCTACCGCCAATGATTGCTAGGAATTAAGCTCTTCATGAATTGACATCACTGAAATGACAGTGAAATGTTAATTATGTTATAGACATTTTAGTCATACATTGTTCACCTTCTTATGAAGAACGAAAAAAAAGTCAGCATTTTCACCCCTCGAACTCTTTTACCTCCCCTGGGTGCAATAATTTACCATCCAAGCCCAAAAGAGTAATTGCCACTAATGATTTCAACCTGAAGTTGCTTGCTAGGGTAAGTCATTTGATTGACACCATCGATTTCATCAATAAAATACAAATGAAAAGTAAGATTGTATCTTCCTAGAGACCAGTATTTATTATGACATGCAATAGAAATCACTTGGAACTTGGAAATCATCTCACAAGTAACTTGATGTTAGGAGAAATGAGTTTAACCCTTGTGAGTTTTTCAAATTAATGAACTACAAAGGTTGAATACCACAATGAATACATTCCCTGCTCTATCATAGCAAAGACCAACATGAATTGGGGGGTACAGATGACATTGGTACTGTTTACAACCAACATTAGTGTTCTGTATTGATGAATGGCAGATTGGTAAGATGTATTATATATTAAGGAGGCAATAAAGATGTCTGATAAGAGGTTCTTGAATTCTATAATCTGTCAGGGAACCTAGAATAGCTCTAAATTTTTAAATTTTTTAAACAACATTTCTTATATTTTGCTGCTGTAGAACAGACTTTGCAATGTTTATTACAAAGCAAGGGCTTCACCGAAGCAGTAGAAAGGGTCAATATAATCCTGTTGCAGACTCTGATGAATGTTTTGTCTTCTGATGAATGTTATGTGTCAATTCTAATGACTTCTCATTACCCATCTATTCATTCTATCTCTTCAAATCATTTGCAAGCTCAAAATTTCTCATGCATGGGAATCTGATTGTAGATTTATTCTAAAAGAATACAAAAAGATTATATCTTCTAATATATATATCTGCAAAAATCATTGCAAAAATCTCACTCTAGTTGGTAAATGCCAAATGCTGCCAACAATAGTTAATATGAGACAATCCAAATACAATTCAACACTTTTCTCCCAAAATTTAAGGTCAATTAGGTAGTTAGCACTTTCAAATTATTCATTCTGGATTCAAACACTAATCAATTACTATGAAGCAATTACATTCTAGAAGCAATGAACTGCACTGCACACTGTAAACTTTGTAGCATGTAGCTGTAATAATAGATTTTTGGTCCATGCTTATTTTATAACAGAATACTGTATGAGCATTATTTGGGACTGAAGTATGCTAAAGAAAAACAATAAGCAATAGATAGGCTTGTTGCTGTGACACAGGATCAAATATATCCTGTTCTCAAGTGTGATACAACATGGAAATATCATAAAATACGGATAATTAGCGGCAAGCAAGGTATACCTTGACAGCATGCAAACATCATCGCGCACGTTTCTGAACAATTTAAAAGCCAGAAATTCACTGAATAAGATTAATCCGAGGCGCAAATACTAAACCGTATCAACCGTATCAGTTATGAAAAGCATTTCTTACCTTGTATACGACACTCATACGAAAATAAAATCCAAACAGCAACAGAAGACTGTTTAAGTAAATATTCAGCTTTGTTTTGGCAAAGGAGAATAAAGCAAGGGCATAAAAACAACACCGTAGAATATCTAAAATATGTGTGTCAACTGAAGCATTACATCAAACACTTGTGTAGATCACCGAACACATGAATTCTACGTTATTTCACAGTATATTTCCAAATGTATTTGCAACTTTCAAAAAATGCGAATTTCCTTGAGATGATATATCTGCTGATAGGCTTGAAATTTGACACTTGTCACTTAAAGGAAAGCTGGGCATATTTGAAACTTGAGCTGCATATTTTGTTGGTTATGATAACAATAATGCCAAAGTAACATGAGAAAGTTTTTTCCTTTGATGTAGGTACTTCAACTTCAAAGATTTTTCAGAACTATTACAGTGCTTTATATGAAAAAGTCCACTTGACTTTAAATTATACGCGCTTGTTTCATTGTAATAGATATTTAGGATAAAATATACTAAAGAAAAGGAATAATGATAACAGCACATACCGTTTCGTACGAATGGTTAAAAAATTCGCACTTTGTAAATTGCAATTAGAATTCAATAATAACCTCAAGTTTGTTTTAGATTGTAACTTTGTGCTCAGAAATAGTAAATTTCATGTAAAACACTATAGGTTTGTTTTAAATCAAACCAAAGTGGAAAAAAGAACTACCTTGTCTTTATCATCAAGAACATCCCCGACTGTATCATCTTCGTCTAAAATGGCTCCCTCATCACATGTTTGTAAACAATGCACGCGTATATAGTCATCCGTATGCTACAGAGAAAAGTATATTATTTTATCAACATTTTGCTAATAAATGAAAGATAGGGAGATTACTGTTGCCTTTTATAATCGAAAATATTGCCTGCAAATAGGTTTATCAATCAGCGATAGCTATAATTTGTAAAACGTAGACTTAGATGCCAGTAAACAAAACGGAAGCGATACACTGCTCAAGGCTGTTTTCAAATTTCTGTTTTACTTGTTGGAAATCGTTACATTAAAGAAATAAATGCCATCTTGTGGCCTAAACGCTCTCATAATATTATATGCAAAAAACTTTATTATTTCTTTTAACGCATTTTAAATAAACTTAAAATCAAAGTTGTAACATGTGTATGGAGTTGGCTGTTGTTATATCAAATCGAAAAGTTTTAATAGTCTACACAGACATCCTGGTCTATAATTTCTTAAAATTTATTTTAAACAGCTTCATGTTAAATCCGACAGCCAAGTGACTAACATTTATGTCAAACAAAGTATGGGCAAACAATAGATATGTATAGCTTGCGAAATACTTCGTAGTTCGTATTTCAGTACACAAAGAGGATCGGTGAGTGTAAGAGCTTGACAAGATTTATGTCTCTCATTAACAATAAAACATTCAGTGATTTCAACTTGGGGATACTTACTTTATTTGTCACTTTTCGGTACCGGACAATAGCTTGCTGTACAAGTTCACGGACAGGTAGTTCACTTCCACAAGGAACGATAATTTTGGTCGTTCCAAAACACACTGTAATTTTCATATCTTCGAGCATTCATGCGCTATAAACATCTCCACCATAACGGTGTATCTTTCTGAACTAAACACCGGTGAGAATATACCACAAACTTTCGTAAGTTTGCAGCGTTTAGTATACAATTCTGGCAATATTATTTGAAATATTTTCATCGTACAATGTAATGTAAATACGATCACGTGATTGATGGGACCAATAAGAAAAGACTAGACGACGCCAATGACTCGGGACGCCTTGACAACACAATGACGCGACATTCTGCATTTGTGGTGCATCATGATAGTCTGACGTACGCATGTTTAAAGATTAACAGCGATTAATAGTTTTAACTTTGGGAATTATAAAATGACTAAGAAATATTAAGATCTTTAACCTTTGCTAGTAATGAATAATTAGTTGACCCAAGGGGGAGGTTTTACTTGTCGTGGCGTGAACTTCCGACAGGCTTCCGGTTTACGAGCACGACATTCCTCACATTCTTTCTGTCGTATATTTAAAGTCGCTCTCTATCAGGGCAACTGTGATCAGGGCGCCTGCTCTCACTAGCTTTCAAAAATTGTTTATGCGATCGTTTGGAAGCGTCAGATAATTATCATGCTTCTAACAACATACCATTGTGCTTTATCATTGGTGAATAAAAGTTCTTTGCCCTCAGGAAAAGTAAAGCCCGTTTTTAATACACAAGCAAATTATCTTTGGCAAATTATCTTTGATATGAAAAAATTAGCATTCGATCATTTGTCAGCTGTGATAAATTTCTTTAAAAATTGTGAAGAGAAAAATGAGTTGCAGACTTGCAGCAATATCAGTCTTGAGCTATAACATGGTGAAAAGGCGTGTTTGGTTAATTCACTGTTTAAACTTTCGCTGGGGTCATCACGTTTTTGTGACTTTTTCTAATTTGACCCCTAGTCAGGCCATTAGACTGACACGTCACGGTCACGCTAGATTGTATTAATTAATCGGATGTATTGTATTAGAGAAATCCGGAATTCTCTGACAAATACAATTTGCATTTTTTAAAGTAAGCCTTCTCGTGTGGATAGCAAAATTGTGAACGGAGGCACGTCTTTAGGCTACCACAACACCACGAAGACGCTGTGGTCCCTTGTCACCCTTTCCACGCGACCACACCAGACGTTGCTCTAGTGTTAAACTGAAATTAGCATTCAACTTTTCGCTAAATGCATTTGCCGTAACAGATTTTAAAAGTTCCCCAATCACCCGGACTTAACATAAATTTGGCAAAGAAAATCTAAAACCGGCTCACTTCCTGAGTTTTTGTATGCAAGTGAAGCAAGTGCTGGTCAAGTTCATGAAAACTCTATGTAGTGTTACATGAAGTATAAATACGTTTACAGAAATGATAATCGTTAAGTTTTATAATCTGTTTTCTTTGACAATGAAATTTGTGGCGTTACAACCATTAGTATAGGTACATGATGATTTATTGATGATTTGACATCAGATTGTCGTGTGTTGCTTGCGCGTTTTGAAGAGAAACAGAACGTTCGATTTGAAACTTTCTGTGAAGTTTGGAAAGAACTCAAATTTTCACTTATTCATCAGTGAGTTCATTGAAAATCCGTGACAACAATATGGATTAATTATATCTCGATTTATTGAGATTATTTTACCTATGAAGAATATCACATGTCTACCTATGTTTTTTAGCGCCGGAGAGCACGAATGGCAAAAAATCCAGGTGATGTAATGTTGCAATTAGAAAGATGTATGGTTTAATTGGGGCCTGGGCCACCATCCATCCTGTTCATCCTTACCAATATTCCTCCTTTTTTTCCTGAACAATTATACCCAATTTTTTACCATAGCAAACACAGCCATTGGATTGTTTCAGTTGGCTGAAAAGAAAAAATTATTCTCCCATTCATAGTATGGTACAAATGACAAACCACCACTTGGTGGTTCCTCTTGCTTCCTAGATTGTTGAAAGTCTTTATCGTATTTTGGGGCATTATTTAACACCAAGTTGTCCATTGCAATATCAAGTTGGTGCAATATATTCTATTTACTCAGTTTATCACACCCAGCATGTGAAGCCTAAAGTCAAGGTGAATAAATGTAATCCCATAGGATATGCAATGTAAATTATCAATATAATCATGTAATCAAAGCATCTTTAACCTCGTAATGTCTCAAATTTCTTTTTTCTAATTAATGACAAATATTATAATTGGCAATTATATTTTTCAGATAAGAATGACATTGTCAATGTGGAATGATTTTTTAAAACTTCAAGAATATGTTAGGGAGCAGAAGGTATAATAATTAATCCTCCATCTGTTGTTAGGCTAACACTGTCACTGTATTCAAGTGTTTGTAAATGCTTTATTTATATATAAAATAATCACATCGATACTCTATGTATAATAATTTAATTATGATTATGTTTTGCTTTGTAGCATTATGATATTTATTATGTGATGACTTCATTAAGAGCAGACAAAGCATTTCTATTTGTGGCCATGCCAATTCAGGTAGATACTCTTCAGTTAAATTGTGACATGTTCAGCAATGCAAAGAGCATTTGACTGAATTCAATCCTAGTTGAAACTGCACACATTTCACTTTGCTTGTGCTTAGCTTATGACAGTATCCAGCAGTCAGTGCTAATTTAGTTGTTTTTACAGCTTGCATGTGGTTCACGTGATTCTATATCCTTATACGAAAGAGATCAGGCAAAAGGAACCAGATCTAGTGATATTGTACAAAATACACAGGAAATTATCCAGGTTCGTTCTTTTATCATACTTACATGAACACATTTTGCAAGAGGGCCATACATTTATTCAAGCAAAGTCTTTGTAGTCAGAACATCATTACCTAGGCATGCCTTAATTGTTAGGGCTGTTTACAAAAAATAGTCTCTCAATGCCTGGCAAACATGGGCAGGCTGATTATTAATATTATCATGTTAAACCCCTCTCATCACAGGTTTCAGACGTATCAGGGGTAAGTACTGGTTGCTGACCCTTGCGTTTTACAATAACTACTTCTCTTTAGAAAGTGAATGAAATTGATGCATTGTATAATTCAGCAAAGATGGAACTCTGTTCACGTGAAGAAGGCGAACGTTTAGTCGATCCTGTCACATTAAGAGTGACTTCTAATGATCTTGTCTCAAACTTACAAAGGTAAGTTTTGATCACATGCAGAATCAATACGACAAACCTTGAGATAAAATTTTCCCAGTATGATCTCCCCTGACCCATCACCACCCTCCTCCCTCCCCCACAGGGGTTTGGCAGATTCAATCCACTTCAATCTAAATACAGTACAATTGTATTTTTTTTATTTCCCTAAAGCGATGTTGAAACTTTTGAAACGTGGAAAGCACAGGAGGTATAACATTTTGCTGTTACGGTATTATAAAGCAGTTTTTCGCTGACTAAATTTTATAGACAAGTTGTAGAGTGGAGTTGCAACGAGTTGCAGGAGTTCATACCATTTGTGTAATAAGATTAACTTATCATTTAGTACGATACTTATATACTATATATTCAATATTTTGATACGATAATAGATGGAACAGAAGAATTCGAAGGTGAAAAACATGCAACGTCGTCCGCAACTTGGCTTACCTGAAGATCGCAAAATGGAGTCTAAAAAACAACAATCTGGACAAGATGATGAAGTTAGTCAACCAGATAAAGTATAGATTAGACCAAGTTGATTATGTACAATATGGAATTAGCGGCCGAGCATTTATATCAAATGCATGTTATTTTGATCCTAACTTAAAGAATGTTTTACTTTCAGTCTTTCTCTAGATCCCAGGTTGTGAAAGAAATAAAAGAGCGATCCTTTAAAACAGTCGTGCAAGTATGTTGAAGTCGTTTGCGTTTCAGACTGCAATGTCAAACGAAATACATAAAAACCTGATGTATATTAAATAAGATTTTTCAAGTTAACTGTCAGCCTAAACAGGTTCACTGTTATAAATGGTGCTTAGGGTGCCTTACGCCTCACGACTTACGCCGGGTCAAATCCCCCTTTTTCCATAAACAGGAACATGTCTGAAGTGTATGCATAGCTCATGATTATTAATGCGTTCTTCGTAGGTTTCGAAAGGCCTACGTCGTCATCAACCAGCTCCTGATTCTCCTGATTCGCCAAGTCCAAGAAGGTCAAGTAGAACTAAAAAACTAAACGAGTAAACGCTCGTGTATACAGTAAACAAGATATATTTATATGCTAAAAATTATTTATTTCAAAATGTATCGCTGCTTGTGATAGTCTCTCAACGATACCGCAAGACATGAATACTGTAAAAAATGACATAGCAAATCATCATATTATTTATGAGATATGAAAATCAATGACAATGTTTTGTAATTGATCAACTTTCCTGTGTTAAATATATTTTTTACATCCGTTTCTTATAAAATGTTTTTTGATGTCGTTCACTGAGCTCTTTCTCATACTCCAAATATTCACTTCTATATAACTGTCTCATTTTCTCTTGACGCACCTGATATTGAGTATAAAACATAGGTTTAATATACATGCAGTATTGCACTATACGAATGCCCTGAACTAGATAATATTTACCAAACAAAGTTCCTGGTTCGCCAACGTCATTTCTTGTTGTTTTATTTTGTTGTCTCTATTAACTCTTTTCCTCCACCAAACCTGTGATTAAAGAAAAATGCGAATGAAAGCCGTTTTCGTTTTCGTCACAAATTAAGATGCAAATAATCCATTGATCTGTCCATGCGAGGATAAACTTATATTTTCTTTGGCTGACGAACCTCGTCAAGTCGTTCATTCCATTTCTCTCTTTCTCTGATCGCGTGATCACTGTTATGGAGAAATGTCACAATTACGCCGGAATGCACGATTTAGGCAAATGGTGTTTTTCATTTAACATTTTTTATTTACTATTCTATATCAAACAATCTTCCCCAATTATCGATATTATCTGATAAGTAGATATATACTGATATTAGTTATAGGGGATGAAACGTGTTTGTCTTAGTACGTGACTTCACGTTAAGCAGATGGATTTAAGAGAGGTCATACATAAAACGTATAGCAGGCACATCCATAGATAGGTACATCACTCGTTTCGTCATTTAAAACGCTTGTGTTTTAAATGCAGAATAACAACCACTCTTGGGTTCACAATTGTGGACGGTTAATAGTATTTTTACCTGGCGGTCTTTACGCTCCATTCATGCTAGAATATAAAGATATGTGAAAGGTTTTCTTTAGCTGAACATGAGAAACGAAATATGAACATGCAGTTGCTGTATTTAAGAACTGATCTATAATCTATATATACTTGTATATCCTGAAAATGTGTATATGTGAAAATGTGTATGTGTACCCCATGCAGTGACAGACTGACAGTGTGTGGTATCTCCCTAAAATAGGAATCAAACCAGTGTCTCCCCAATGCTGGTTAGGTTGTTTTACCACTAGATCATCACCTAAGATCGTCGATCAATAATGAGAATCAGGTTTCATTTCAATATAACTGAAACCCTGTAGTTTTGCAGCATAAAGTTATAGAACAATCATCTATCCCGGCAATGGAGAAACATGGGTTCGATTCCCGTTGGAAGGTTTGGACACTTCTAAACACAAACCGTTTCAAAAAACTTTAGCACATGCACTGAGACTAACAATTCATTTTGACGACCAAAGGTACTAGATAATTTTGCAAACATCATCGTATGGGCGTAGATAATTTCTTCTAGTGACACTGAGATACACAGTCTTCGTTCACATACCTGTTGTGCGTCTCGATTGTCAGAAAACGTTCTCGTTACTGGTTGTGATTTCATCACCTCGTACCTGTACCCTGTTGCATACAATGACATCTTGCAGTTCAACTTCTTGTTTTTGACAGTGTTTTTATAGACTAAGCAATATTTCATCCATGCATTGTATGAATTCGGAAAGTTTTTAGGTCACTATGACAACCAATACTGCAAGCCAAGCAGGCGATACACCTGTTTCAAAACATTGGTTTGTAAAATGCCGATTAAAATACTTGTATAACTTCATCTAAGGGCAGTGTTATCGTACTCCAGTCCGTATCCAAAAGGAATGCTAACTTGAACTAGTCTGTGCAATGGACCGCGAGTCTGTGCTATGACTTGTACTGAGGAATTGTTTCATCCACTTTTAAACAGGCTCCATCGTCCTTGGATTGGAATATATTGCACTTCACGAAATACTAAAGATTCGATTGCTTTTGTTTCAGGCGACTAACTGCGGGGCCAAAAGAAAGGAGCAAGCGAAAAATCGATGGGAAAAAATATTAGAAGGATTTTTAAATCATTGACATTATATATGAATAAAAAACGCATCGCAACCCTTTTAACACTGCATGTTTTCACTTGCAAAAATGACATATTATCGCTGCAGCCTTTGAACGGAGAAGTCGCACCGATCAAAACTTATATATCTTTCTTATAATATGGTGATCGACACACAGGACAGATGGGCGATGAATTCAGTGAAAGTTGTTCAAAAGAATCGACACAATTCTTGTGAAAAACATGAGAACACGACAATAACACAACTGGACGAACATCAGGTCGTGACAGGAGCTCAGGCGCAGTTATGCCAGAACATAATATTGTAAAACATATTGGACAATCAGATGAAAGTCGATCTTTTGCCTGCAAGCGAAAATAAAGAATATAGCAACCAGGCTAGAGTGTCCCAACAAAATAACTAATTCTGCCTGTAATTGTTTCTCTTTTTGTGGATTCAACCTTAAAATAATTCATATTAGTCTCACACCTGTTCATAAACAGATTCCCAATCCGCGTCGGACATTGTTTTGAAACTATCTTCTCCCACAAATCTATAAACAGAGCAACAAACCTTCAAGCACGACTCCACTAAACCTCTAGACGAGGGGATCTCTACATGCAGTAATTACTAACCTCATCACTCGTCGACTCTCTTCCACCGACTCGTCAATTTGCGCAAGAAACGAGTCAACATCGGCATTTGACATTGAAGTAACAAATCGGTCTGTGATAGAACGAAGCTAAACAAAAAAAATAAGATTAATTTGGTTATAAGACAGTGTACAACATATAAATATTATCTATACTAATCTACATTTTAGCGTCGTAAGGTGCTAAACTGTTTGGAACACAATAATTCAGTTCAAAAAATTAATCTGATTAATTAGTATTCATCAGAATACTGTGTTTACCTTCTCTTCATAAAACTTTCTCCTTAACCTTGGATTATTTGGGGGAACTGTTTCTCTGAGCTTTAGATACCAGGACCTTACAACGTAACCGCGCCACGCTGCTTGGATTCTAAAATAAATATCACAAACAAAAAACAAACAAAAATATTTAAACTTCATACAGGTGTGATGAGTAAACATTGACATCCAAACCACAGGCAATTATTAAACATAAACTGTTTTGATCCACCTGCCCCGAGTCCTTGGACTACTACTACACACAAAAACGTTTTTGCGCGTTTTTATTTGCGTTTTCACGCAAAAATAGGATACATTTATATGTCAAAGACGTTCTCTAAAACGATGCCAGCTGTGTGTGTAATTTCAACCAGCTCAAATGGGTCTAAATATTGTTTGTTGGCGGCAAGCATGTTACTTTTAATTACATGCACTTCCGTCATACAAGCGGCTGCAACTCAGGCTAGTTACTTTTGCATAGGCGACCTAAACTCACCAGCCAACGAAGAACTCTTTACGTATGACACTGACTGCAAACAATAACGTTATCAGAAATATAACAACTTACTTTATAGCACATTTATGTTGCCACATCTTCCGTCCCTCATGTATAACTCGTGTTTCGTACTGTTCTTTTCGACACAATGGACAGGTTTTTCCACCAGAAAATTTCTCAAATGCTTCAAGGCAGACCTTGAAGAAGCATAGAAAGTTGTTATGAAGGCATTCATAGAGTTTATTCATGACTGCTGTTTAAAGTGTTCTTAATTTAAAATGCTCATTCTCCAAATGAAAACTTACCCGATGAAAAACGTGGGAACATGATAACAATACCTGCAAAAATTTAAGGAGTTTTCTTGAAAAATTGTATTGTCATTAACCTGTTCACTACCAAAGCTAAGACAAACCCACCATATTACCCACCATATTACCCATTAATGTACATCTTTGGTTGTGAACAGGTTAAGATAGTATGGTACATTGTACAACATAAGTTAACTATAATGTACTGGGTAAGACATTTAACTTAACAATAAATCACACCTGATGCTGTGTTCCAAATTCTTCTTTACAAATAACACATGGTTGATTGGAATCATTCCTTTGATTTGATTTATTTTTGACAACTTGCCATTCCTTGTCATTTAGTGGCTCAGAGGGTGCATCAACCAGCCCAAGCCTTTGAGCTTTAATTGTGTCATTAAATATATGAAGTATACAGTATTAAAAGTGTCAGCGAAATGATTGTGTTTTCATTGACAACAAATTACGCATTTTTTTATTACAATTGTATCTAACAAAAGTGTATTTCTCTGTTTTGTAACCAGTCAATAGAAGTATCAAATATTTCAAACAAAGAGGTACACTATGGGACATTTGACTTAGGTTAATTGAATTGTACTCAAGGTAAATACCTAATGTTAATGCTTTCGGTTTTGCATCAAGAACATATTCCCTATTACCATCCATGTGTGTCTTAGTTTTTCTTCCTGAATTTGCCTTCTTTTTTGTATTGCTTTTTGATACATGTTCATTTCTTATTTTGATTGGATCTTGAAGAGAAAGAGACCTGACCAAATGATCCTGCAAAGCCACTGCATTCAAAACAGACCTTGACTGCACCATTATAGGAAAGCATTCATAGAAAAGAAAAAAAAGTGAGCTAAAAAAAAAATGTGACATCCCGAGTGACATTGTTCTTTCATTGTGTCATACAAAGCATTCTCAGAGCTGGTTGTCCAAATTATGAGCTAACATAGTGTTAAATCAGCTTGGTTTGTTGCTCTAATCATATTAACACTTTTCTTCTTTATGGGATGCTCAGGTCAGGTATGTACATGCATGTTCTACAGAGAAATATAGATACAATCTCCATAGTAATAAATTAAGATATTGTCATATTGGACATACTTTAGATCCACTACAACTGCCTGAAACGATCTCTCGAGGGAATTTGTTCACAACCACTTTTCCAGAATTTTTCATTTTTATCTAGTCATTGAATTCTTCAGAAATATCACGACCTGGAACTTTACAATTTAGAAATAAATAAGTCAAATAACCGTCAACAACCACAACCGACAAATGCCGACCACTACCGACAACAAACGACAGCGCTAAAATTATAGACCACTTTTATATCACAGTTTAATATAAATTTAGAACCACCTTAAATGAGATGGATTTCAAGTTTTACTCTTACAAGCATATGTGCAAACATGAATAACATTCTTCTTTAACCCATGCATGCATCACTCGCAATTTCGCATGTCTCAAATTTGCACGTCTGGAATTTCACCAGTGAATTTCACCAAAGCCGCCAACAACGCCGCCCGGCCACCATTTTGAATTTTACCGCGCAGGGACTGTGGCGAATACTCAGATGGGTTAATAAAGGTGGTGGCAAGCCGGTAAAATTTTTTTTGGAACCATATCCGTTCCATATATGTTTAATAACAGTGTTTTTTGTATGTAAAAGAAAAATTTGGAAAGAAAAAAAATTTTGGAAAGAACCTAAAAGCACCCAAAAGAGATCATCCAGCTCTATGCCACAATCTAACCGGTGATATTACAACCAGCTGCGATATACCAGCATAGATTACAACTACGAAAGGTGCAAGGACAGTTGCTATAGGAAGAACTCCCCCCCATAACTCACATCTTAACGGCCGCCTAAGGGGGAGGTGCACTACGGCCCCCAGACCATGATGTATGTGCACCTAACCGTTACGTCTCAGTGAGAAACAGAGTGGGCTGTATGCCACACGCCTAGCGCGTCATAGACGAATCAGCTACAGTGGCAAGCCTTGAGAGCGATGATAAATTTAAGGTATTTAAGCTTTTCCTGGACTTGAGGGGCGGTCCCTAACAAGTATATGCATAGAAAACGACTAATAAGACACACGCTTGGAAATGTCAAGATTTAAACGCCTAAACGTTTTTTAAGTGTTTTTAACGAGAAATTTTAGTGTTTTGATATTCTTTTAGAAATTTTATTGTTTTGAAACAATCCTTGTTGGTTTTTAACGTCAAAATAGTCATCATTCTCGAAAGGAAAGTCAATATAAATGACTGAACGGCTTAGTTTACAAAAATGAAGGTCTGAAAACTTAACACGAGTTCCCGTAGACTGTTATCCAGTTTATTGTAGCCTTGGGTATTTGTGCCAACCTTTTTGAAGGAGTAGGTGCAGCCTTTATACAAACAGCGATTATATACAAGTTACTATCGTGATACGAATAACTTGCGATATCATAAAGTATGAGAATATTTTATTGGAGGTTGGTGCAGCTATTTTCTCATACGTGCTAATAACATGCATGCACGTATAAACAATGGACATTTCATTACCCATTGTTGTTAATGCACTCACATGCACGAGGTTTAAAGTAAATCAAATTCAATATGAATCTTAAATCGTCACCTTGCGGTCAATGGCCGATACGGAAAAAAGCTAGCCACAATTTGAAGGTAAACTATATGAATGAAGAACTTATAGGCAGAGATGAGATGTGCCACTAGTGCCAACCATTAGGAATGAAAGTTTGGAAGCGACGAAGCGGCGTGATGTCTTACAGTTTACTTCACCTCAGCAAGATCCACATGAATATTATTTGTTCACGTGTATATATATACTTTCGTCGAACTGAATTGATCATACGGTATGAAAATAACATTCTTATTATGCCAAATTAAAAGTAAAATGGTGATTACAGCTATATTGGGTGCATGTTTATGGTTAGCTCTCAAATTAGCGAGCTTCTGCAACACATGAACAAGAAAATTTGTACACAACAGATCAATGGGTATAGGCTAAAATTATATGACAAATAAGTTGTTAGACTCATGCAATGCCAATATTGTACTAAAGACTCTGTTTCACGGTGCAATATCTCATGTCATTTGTCTCGAAACCAATGGAAGTCCGCTCTACTTATAGTGAAAGGCTCAATGCGACTTACAGTGCACGGACGTTAAACGCATTAAAAATTGTAACAGGGCCTTATAAACTCTGCCTTTGTATTTTGAAATATGAATTTGAAAACTCGCAGGGAAAGCCAGGAGATTTATCCAGGCTTTTGATTGACAGTTCTCAGGCTGAAGGCACTAACGAGAATGCAGAGTTGACTGTCTGAATGTCTTTGTTGCTGTTTTACTGCCTTAAGGTTGATCAAAATGCCGATAATACAGTAAAAGTTTGATGTTTACTGATGAATGAACTCTGCTATTGTTTAATTCATTGCCTCCTATATCATGCAGAGACTGGGAAGAGTATTCAGGGGTTAATTAAGGTGGTTTTTAGTCGATATAATTTTTTTTCGAACCATATCCGTTCCATATATGTTTAATAACAGTGTTTTTTGTATGTAAAAGAAAAATTTAAAAAAAAAAAATTTTGGAAAGAACCTAAAAGCACCCAAAAGAGATCATCCAGCTCTATGCCACAATCTAACCGGTGATATTACAACCAGCTGCGATATACCAGCATAGATTACAACTACGAAAGGTGCAAGGACAGTTGCTATAGGAAGAACTCCCCCCCATAACTCACATCTTAACGGCCGCCTAAGGGGGAGATGCACTACGGCCCCCAGACCATGATGTATGTGCACCTAACCGTTACGTCTCAGTGAGAAACAGAGTGGGCTGTATGCCACACGCCTAGCGCGTCATAGACGAATCAGCTACAGTGGCAAGCCTTGAGAGCGATGATAAATTTAAGGTATTTAAGCTTTTCCTGGTCTCGAGGGGCGGTCCCTAACAAGTATATGCATATAGAAAACGACTAATAAGACACACGCTTGATTGAAATGATTTAAACGCCTAAACGTTTTTTAAGTGTTTTTAACGAGAAATTTTAGTGTTTTGATATTCTTTTAGAAATTTATTGTTTTGAAACAATCCTTGTTTTTTAAATAATAATCATCATTCTCGAAAGGAAAGTCAATATAAATGACTGAACGGCTTAGTTTACAAAAATGAAGGTCTGAAAACTTAACACGAGTTCCCGTAGACTGTTATCCAGTTTATTGTAGCCTTGGGTATTTGTGCCAACCTTTTTGAAGGAGTAGGTGCAGCCTTTATACAAACAGCGATTATATACAAGTTACTATCGTGATACGAATAACTTGCGATATCATAAAGTATGAGAATATTTTATTGGAGGTTGGTGCAGCTATTTTCTCATACGTGCTAATAACATGCATGCACGTATAAACAATGGACATTTCATTACCCATTGTTGTTAATGCACTCACATGCACGAGGTTTAAAGTAAATCAAATTCAATATGAATCTTAAATCGTCACCTTGCGGTCAATGGCCGATACGGAAAAAAGCGGCTAGCCACAATTTGAAGGTAAACTATATGAATGAAGAACTTATAGGCAGAGATGAGATGTGCCACTAGTGCCAACCATTAGGAATGAAAGTTTGGAAGCGACGAAGCGGCGTGATGTCTTACAGTTTACTTCACCTGAGCAAGATCCACATGCACATTATTCGTTCACGTGTATATATATACTTTCGTCGAACTGAATTGATCATACGGTATGAAAATAACATTCTTATTATGCCAAATTAAAAGTAAAATGGTGATTACAGCTATATTGGGTGCATGTTTATGGTTAGCTCTCAAATTAGCGAGCTTCTGCAACACATGAACAAGAAAATTTGTACACAACAGATCAATGGTTATAGGCTAAAATTATATGACAAATAAGTTGTTAGACTCATGCAATGCCAATATTGTACTAAAGACTCTGTTTCACGGTGCAATATCTCATGTCATTTGTCTCGAAACCAATGGAAGTCCGCTCTACTTATAGTGAAAGGCTCAATGCGACTTACAGTGCACGGACGTTAAACGCATTAAAAATTTTAACAGGGCCTTATAAACTCTGCCTTTGTATTTTGAAATATGAATTTGAAAACTCGCAGGGAAAGCCAGGAGATTTATCCAGGCTTTTGATTGACAGTTCTCAGGCTGAAGGCACTAACGAGAATGCAGAGTTGACTGTCTGAATGTCTTTGTTGCTGTTTTACTGCCTTAAGGTTGATCAAAATGCCGATAATACAGTAAAAGTTTGATGTTTATGAATGAACTCTGCTATTGTTTAATTCATTGGCTCCTATATCATGCAGAGACTGGGAAGAGTATTCAGGGTTAATTAAGGTGGTTTCTAGTCGATATAATTTTTTTTCGAACCATATCCGTTCCATATATGTTTAATAACAGTGTTTTTTGTATGTAAAAGAAAAATTTGAAAAGAAAAAAAAATTTTGGAAAGAACCTAAAAGCACCCAAAAGAGATCATCCAGCTCTATGCCACAATCTAACCGGTGATATTACAACCAGCTGCGATATACCAGCATAGATTACAACTACGAAAGGTGCAAGGACAGTTGCTATAGGAAGAACTCCCCCCCATAACTCACATCTTAACGGCCGTCTAAGGGGGAGATGCACTACGGCCCCCAGACCATGATGTATGTGCACCTAACCGTTACGTCTCAGTGAGAAACAGAGTATGCATTGCCACACGCCTAGCGCGTCATAGACGAATCAGCTACAGTGGCTAGCCCTGAGAGCGAAGATAAATTTAACGTATTTAAGCTTTTCCTGGTAAATACCATTAAATTCGGATGATTTGTTGTTCAAAAACAATCGGAAAAGGGTTGACATCAAAATAGCTATGATTCTCGAAAGGAAACTTAATAAAATGACTCAACGGCTTAGTTTACTAAAATATTTTTTTATTTCTGTGAGTCCGATGAGCGGAAACTTTGAATTTTGAAACTCTGAGCCGTGAAACTTGCAGCCGTATAGCGGAGAAAGTATATTACGCTATTGTATATTATTATTGTTTTTTGCAGATTTGACTGAGTCTAGACAAACATTGTGTTAGATTGAGAAGCAATAATCGCATTACAAAAACCGTAACACCAGCTTCAAAGAGGTATCCTCCAATTCTGACCTATGCTGGTCCAGTTAAGCTGACGTATACTCGAACTCAAAAAGAGCGTTTAAAATCTTTGCTAAATAGAGCCAAAATCATAACAGGAAATGATGCACTTGCGGATATCCATGAAGTCATCCAAAGACAGAACTGTATGTTAGTAAGAAAATGTATCGAACAGCAAACAAACAGCATGATTTTTAATAATTATTTTGAAACATTAGTCATTCAAAGGAAACGAGGAATAATAATCTTTTAAACGCCTGGATTGAAGAACCGAATTAGGAATAATTGGAAGGGTAGCTCCACGGTATCTCTTTTCAATTTCGTTGTATCAGCAAACCCTGATAGTTTTGCTGCCATGCTTTGAATCGTTTTTATCAAGTTCAATGTTATAATCTCTATTTCCAGGCTTTTACATCGTCCAATGAAACATTGCAGCTACTGCGAGACTATTTCATGTTTTTCATCTGTCGTATATTATCTCGAATTTGCAGGTCTGCTATATTTTGAATTTCACGGATGGAGACGACGGCATAGAGCTCGATGATCTTTTTTGGGTTTTTCCCAGATATTGTTTCTTATACATCATTTTTTCATACAGAAAACACGGTTATTAAACATATATTTGGTGCGAAAAAATTTATATCGACTATTAACAACGACCCCCCGAATAAATTAACCCCTCAATACTTGAAGGTCGTCTCTCCCAGGATTTGCGCCTCGTACGCTATCATCCAGTTTTTCGCTTCTCTTCGATCTGATTGGCTAATATGGGTGATCCATTTCAAGACAACTAGCGATTTATTGTCAACAGCGACCGAAGTCATCTCGTTTTGTTTACAATTTTCCTGCGTTGTAAAATGGATTTTCAGGAGAAAATTGTTTTTAAACAAACATATATTGCGTGGTAGAGATCCTTGAATTTGTCCCTTTACTCTGGTAAGTCGTCAACTGTATTCATAAGTGATTAAAAGAAATATTTTGTAATATGCGGTGTCCTAAACCGTGACAGACTAGTCATGAATGCGTTTAAACCTGCACTTTTTGAATTATAGTGTAAAGCACTGCCCGTTACTTTAGAACTCTATTTTTGATCGCAAGTAATATTACACTAATTTAAATTAAAATTGTCCTCGTTATTATGTAAGCAATGGCATATACTGGGGCTAACATGCCTAAATTGCTACCACATACCGAATGGGACACCTCAGCTAATTTCTACATGTTTGTTGGGCAATGGGCTTCAAAGTTCAAAAACAGAATAATATGGATTTATTGAATTCTATTTGTGTCAATTGTGATTTGGATTCATGGTTGATATTGCTTAACAATGCTAATTTTAAAACTACATGGGTACCTGGCATAGAATCATCAGCACTATGTTTTAATTTTTTTAGAACAGAAAATGGAGCATCCTGTGCCTCCAGGGGTGGCTAAATTAGGTGAGAATGCCAGTGGTTCTAATCTAGCACAATATTCACCAATTGGTTAACTAAAGCATTTATCATGATGATAGGATGTGAACTGTGAAGTTATTGTATATTGTTGGTTATTATCATTTTTCTGCATTCATGATCATTAACTGCTTGTTCACTAAATACCAATATTACCTAGACTTCTTTCTACTAGCTGTAGGTCTCATGTAGAAGCAACAATGCAGAAGTAACAATGTCATTGGCAAGATGCCAGGAAAGCCTACAAAAGTTACAAGCAGGTGAATGAGAGTAATTTTAAATGATACATCAGTTCATAGTGTTTGCATTTGTTTTCTGCGTGAAAACACATATGGATTGTAATCAAGCCTTGGGTCCTTCAGTGGAAGTTGATCCCCAGCCATAAAGAGTTCTGATGCAGCTTATGATAGTACATGAGAATTCCTATGTGTGATTTTAAAACCAATTCAAAAATTATTGTCAGTGCTTTTCTCCTGAAATTTTTCTTGAAGCAGTCTTAAATGTCCATGTATTAGATTATTCTTACAAAATATAAATATAGTCTTTTTTTTGACAAAATAGCAAATATTTGACAAGACTAAAATTGAAATAATTTACTTTTGCAGCGAAGAAAAACTATTAAGGAAGTTGCTAGGCATACTTAATCATCCTGCCAAGAAACCACAGGTAGAGGTCGATCTTTTTTAAGACATAACAATCAAGTCTACGATAGATTTTACCCAAAATTAGTTACTATGCAGTTCAATGATGATGAGCTAGTAATTATTTAGGAAAACTTATTGAACAACAAACCTGGTACAGACAATTAGTGGTTTAGTTTATCTACAGTTCAATGATCATAACCCAGATTAAATTCTGGATTATGGATTTAATTTCACATTGTCTTTAAATTCTGTGCTTCAATATAAATTTTCAAAAATTGAGTGCCCTGTTCTTTAAGTACATAATATATGCCATTCTTTTAGCTGCCAGGCTTGTCAGATACAAAAGCTAAACCAATAACTGCAGCAGCAGTTGTTAAACAACCTCCTGAAAGAAAATGTTTGGAGCAGTTCAGGTACAACTTATAATTTTTATTAAATTGTATATTTTAGCAGATAGGAAACTTACCATTTTATTTGTCAATGTGGAAAGTCTGTGACTGAACAGGTTAAGACATTTAAATGTATATCAAAACACAAAGTGCTTCGTTAGTGGAGAAAAGTAAATATTGCCTTTTTATCATTTCATTAGCACTCTGTTTCACAATGTGAGGATATTTTCAACCCATTTATATGGCAATTACTTTGGCCAGGTAATGTGTTGTTTTATGATGTGATCTATAATGAATTAAAATCATATTATTGAAAGTATCCAAAGTACATAATGTTGTGATAATAATAATATCTATCTTTCACAGATTTTTGAAACATTATTGAAGCAACGACTGGCTTGCACGTAAGTATAATCTAAAACTGGCTTATAAAGTAGTGTCTACAATCGTCTAATACATCTAGATGTCTATGAGCCCAGACTAGAACGAGCTTAAGGCAAAGCTTTGTATTTGAGCTAAATTTTTGTAAATTAAGCCCTCAAATACTCCAGTACCAGTACTCCAGTGTGTTACAAGGATTGACTCTCACACAAAACAATAGGAAAATTCTCAATAGAACATGCCAAAAAATTCTTAACAAAACCTGTCCAGTATGTATAGTTATTCAGTATATTAACAACAGTCAAATAACATTTTTGATTTTTATTTTATTTTGCTTACAGAGAATGGGTGTCTATTGCTGCAAGAGAAGATGTCTTGGGAGCATTTATATGTCTTCGTATTCTGATGAGAGACCCAAGTTATCAAGTAAAGAAATATATGCTTTTAGAACCCTCTAGTCCATACCATGCATGTTAACAGATATTAACATGAACTATTTATTACACTGTATATATAAAATATTACTTCATCAGTTGACTTCTTCTTCATTCTTCAGCAAGAATTTTTCAAACTTGGTGGTGTGAGGGTACTAGTACAGGTAACATATGTAGCTTTTCTAACAAAGTTATATTGCAAGTGAGATGCAATTTTCTACATTAACAACCCCATGAAGTTCCTCTTGTCTCCAGATTTAATAGGTCAGCTCGGTGTAGAGTCATCGGGCGTGGCAGGCTTAAAGCTTTCTAGTTTATTTCATTACAAATCACTCACAACACCACAAACAGTAATTCAGCCCATGGCATTAGCCACAATTGGGTAATTGGGTTGTTATCTCTGTTGTCTCCTTTTAAACTATGTATTACAAACTACGAATTATAACTAATCTACATTCCAATCTACTTTCAAGCGTTTGCAATTTTTCACGGAGGAAGATCCAGAAGGCCAATATACACTGGAAATTTTGAAGGAGATGACAAGTAATTGCATATGCATAGATATAGCTACCATAAGACTGCATTACATGCGCGAGTGAGCATCTATCTATGTAACACGCGCAATAGAAATTTTTTAAATTAAATTAAATTAATTAAATTAAAGTTACTTATTATTTATATATCCACTTTTGTATTTCATGTGCTAGATATTTGCCAAAAGTTACCAACTGATGAAGAAAAGCGCGAATGGCTTGTCGCATGTGGTATCCACAAGGTTTGTCAGTTTTTGTAAAAAATGTTTGTAACAATCATCAGTGTCATGGAGTTCTTTCTTTTGCTCTATCCTTTTCGGACCAAAATGGCAGAAAGCGAGAAATGAATGAATGTTCTCTCCGTGAAGCGATACGCCATAAAGCGTATAGAGAAATAAGGAAGATGATTGCAGTGTCTTTTATAACTGTCAATCGACAGGCGTGTAGACTGTTGCCTAATTTAGACTTATAGTTGACTCCATTATTACGGCACATTTCAAGTTTATTATTTGTCGTATGAATACTTTATCTATGGAATATAATATAGCCCTTGGTGATGTTACTTCATACAACGGATATTGTTGTACTGCATTGTTCTCTTTACGCCCTGATTGGTTTATCTCAAAGGTAAGCAATGTTTGCCAGGTTGATATGCTGTACTTCACGCTCGTCGCTCATGTTTTCATTATCTGCATTCACGCATTATTATCTGCATTATTATTATGTATCGTTGCTCATGTTTTTACTATCTGCATTTACATGTTAACGATCGAGTAAACGTCAAAATGTCTTCATATTGCAGCGAGAAAGCGAAAATCGCCATCGGAGAGTTAAACTGTACCGAAGTACTTCTCCATATTATAGAACACTATGATATACCTTCAAAGAAGTAAGTACGAAATCTAAGTGGGGTCGTTTTTGGTAAATATACTCTATGGCTCATGAACATTTCTAAAAGTTTGCTGAAGCTATATTTGCAAAACAATAACCTGACTGTGGTTGTTGACTTTCAAACTGATTTTTTTTCATCTGTAGACCTGCTGCAAATTTATTGAAGAACCTTTGTTCTGATATTAACATCAGAGAACAAATAAAAGTATACGAAGGCATCCGAATATGTTTAAGGTAGCTAACTTTCATCTCGCAGATGATACATACATGCAAGGTCAATTGTAGAAATGTATTTATTGAAGAAATATAGTCAGCACTCGTAGTGCCGTGCATGGCATCTTCATGATATAGCTGCAGTTAGATATTGTTAATAATTGTATCCTTTTATTGTAGTCTGCTTGATTCTGACAATATCAAATTTTTATGGCATTTGGTAAGTCAGTTATGATGTACGTATAGATCCTATGGGGGAGCTAACAGATCACAAACTATTTATAATTTTTAACCTTTTTTGCCCTCTTTCTTCTGTGTTATACTCCAAGGCTGCGTGTGTATGACGCCTTTATATATCTCTTACGTCATTTCCTGAATTACATCCCTCCCAGCCGTTTCACGGATAAAAGGCATCAAATTTTTCATCGTTTTCAGTATTGTTTGATTTTTTGTGTTCCAATTCTGTTCAGGTTTGGGTTATCGTTCAGTTATCAGAAGATAAGGATTCCAGCGAAGAAGTTCGATTACTTGGTGGTATTCCTCTCATATTGTCTCTAATACAGTAAGTACTATATTTATATCTATTGTCCAGGTGTTGCTTCTCGTAAGTAATTGTGTAATAAAGAATGTTTCTTGCGTGTGTTTAGCAAAGATCGAGTTTTTCATGCTGATCAAAACATCCTGGTGATGTCTAGTGACTGCGCTACAAAAGCTGCAACAGACGTAAGACTATTGGCGTTTTTATGTTATCTTTTATGCTTCTGTTTTAATGAAAGATAATCAGATTTTTATACTGTTTTATGATCTGGAATATCTAGGTTGAAATTGACAACAAAATGGAATTGCTTTCGCTTAAATCTGGTGAGTGTACACTTGCGTATAAATGTCAATAGGAATCGAGCGACAAAATCGTCTTATAATTTTCACACTTGTTTTGCAATTAGACTTTAGCAAACGTAATTGCAAATCCACCATATTATGTTCCTTTTAGCATAAAAACTGATATTCATTATTGTCATTTAGCTGCCTGTACTGCCCTGACTGAATTAGTTCTCAATGATACGAATGCTCAGCAAATCGTTCAGGTGCGAAAAATGCTTGCAATCCAATGTGCAGTAATATGCCTGCATGCCTATCGTAGACGTGCGTGTGTTTTGACTATAGTATAGACGAGCTTTATTGTTAAATAGTATTGCAGTGAACTGTATTGCGGCGAGTGAATAGTGTTTGGCTCTGACCAATTATAGATAATCATGTTTTTTTTACACATTGTTCTGTCTTTAGGCTAATGGTATCTATTTATTGAGTTCGTTAATTCTCCAAAAAAAGACGAGTCAAACAGTTTCTTCAGACGAAGGAAATGCAATTGAGAATCTTCAGGTAGCTATACTGTGCGGCGTGCATTTTATTTGTGGCGACGTGGTTTAACTAGACCCAATGAGGTATACCATATATATGTATATTATTGGTGTAGTTTGAATATACAAGAATAAACACAAATTCATGTCATGAGAGATGACATGATAGCTGCTGTATACTGTATAGTTTAAAGTTCTGTTTCTGTCTTTATAGAAAAGTGCGTTGAGAGCGCTACGATATTTATTCAGCATGGAAAGAAACCGACAACTTTTTAAAATGTACGTAAAACTTAGATTAGTTTAAAGTTTCATATTATCCATGGTCATTCTCCTTCATGCAGGCTACTAATATTATATGGATGGTGGTAACCAATCAAGACCCTTCACTTGCATGAGGCAACACTTGTGAAAAGTTTGTTTTCCGAGATCAAACAATGTATCCTTTGGATGCACTTTCTATAAAACCCGCTCTATGAAAAACTTGAAAGTTTACAATCATGCAAGTTTTAAAATTGTTTTCATGTAGACTTTTTCCTCCTGACGTTTTCGAGATGTTTATTGATGTTGGCCACTACGTTCATGATCTTAACGCTTACAAACTCTTAGCTGAAAAGATTAACAATCTTTCGGTTCGTATATACACTGCATGTGTTTTCACTTTTAGAACGTTTTTATGAAATTTTTATCAGATTGAACCATTTTCTTTGTATCTAGGAAGAGCAAGTAACCCTGATTAGTTCAAATATTGAAGCAACAAACAGGCGTAAAGCTCCATCACGTACAGTGGGTTCCTACGCCATTTTGGAACTGCTTGGTTCTGGCGCGTTTGGCAGTGTTTTTAAGGTATGAGATAAAGTGTGTGTAAAGTGTACGTAACTATGTGTAAAACACGTGCATGTTTTGCAGGTTTGTAAAAAGAACGGAGATGGAACATGTTTTGCCATGAAAGAAATTTCACTTACGAATCCAAACCTTGGAAAAACAACTTCAGAAAGAAACAAAAGTAGTGGAAATATCATTCAAGAAACTAAATTTTTAAAAGAACAGGTACATGTACTATATATTATATATTATTACGATTTTTTTAGTATATGCAGCTTTACTCAGAGTATACTGTGATAAAATTGACATTAAGTACCTATGCATACTGTAGATTGACATTGTATGTATATCGATTGGTTTATAAATGTATTCATGAATGCAAGCCGTACTTGAAATGAACTCGATCTTTTTATGTGTTGAACCATCTAGTTGAACCATCCGAATGTGGTTAAATACATCAAAGCATTTCAACAAAGTGAGCCATCTATTTCAAAACGTCTGCTATATTTATGAATATGGTATTAAACCTACTGAATGAACATATCCAAAAATGTGTGTTTGGTTTTTAGCGAATACGTTGTATGTGATAATGGAGTATATCGAAGGTGCTCCGCTTACCGAACATTTCAATTCTCTGAAAGAAAAGAAAGACCTGTTTTCAGAAGAAAGGATTTGGAACATATTTATTCAGGTAAGACCGAAGGTCCCAAAAATCGTATATTGAAGTGCGTACCTCGTACACTGGTACCGCGTATGCTGTCAAGATGAAAGTTCTAATCGTCATATTGATTTTCTAGATTGTGCTTGGCTTACGATATCTACACAAAGAGAAACACATTATTCACCGTGATTTAACACCAAATAATGTCATGTTGGGAACTGAAGATAAAGTAACTATCAGTAAGTTGTCTCTTGCTATTATCATTTTTACAATGATTGAGCATTCTCATGTATATGATATTCGCGTTCATTCGCTAGAGAAGTACTATAGTAAGTTCTCAAAAAACAGGCGTGATAGCATGTGTTTGGTAGAATACTTCGCACACGATTATTGACAAGTTCCTACAACACTGAGAAACTTCGTGCTTATAATCATGACTAACTTGCAATATATTCGATCTTTACAGCCGACCTGGGCTTAGCGAGACAGAAGCTCCCTGAGGCAAGTGAACTTACGTCTGTTGTTGGTACCATGTTGTACTGGTGGTGAGTAAATTTACTGATAGCGTTGTTGTGTATGTTCTGTTCTAGGGGGGGGGGGGCTAACACGGTGTGTGCTCTTCTTGTGCGGTGTAGCCACGGTTTGCAGATATAGTGAAGCTATAAGGTCCTCTTATTACACAAACGTTGGGAGTTCTTGTAGAGTCATTTACTTATCGTCCTGTGGTTTCGTTTGTAGTCCTGAAATTCTGCAGCACTTGCCGTATGGTGAAAAAGCTGATGTTTGGGCTGCTGGATGTTTACTTTATCAAATGGCAACATTACGACCGCCTTTTTATTCGTCAAATCTTCTTCATCTTGCAACTAAGGTAAGTAACAACACTCTGACTGCTGTTGGTGCACCTGGATGTCGATAATCGTCATTTACTTCCGACCGGCGTCCGCACTGTTATGAGATCAGTGGGCGTTAATACATTAACGCCGTTGTTGACGATTTCTGCCGCTGGACTGAGAGGATCTGATACTGTATTATTGTTTATTACGATGCACATAGATTGTCGATGCTGACTATGAGGAAATTCCAGATGAGATGTACTCCAAGAAACTCATTGAAACTGTCAGAAGGTAATATTTTTCAGCATGGTTATAGTCTCACCAGCTGTTGCATGTTTAACGTATTGCACGCAAAATCTTTCTTGTTAAAGAATTCATTTGTATATTTCGTTCTGCTGCTGGTGAATAATTACTGTCTTTTAAACTTTACGTTGTGCCTAGTCATATGGCTGCTTTATGCAAGATTAATGACAGTTCTATCACGTAGCATAAAAATAGAGGGAGTTGTGCTTGGAACTGTCAGGATTTGCTGTTGACATTTGCAGCGGAATATTCAAGTTTTATGGACTGGAGGTTATTTAGTTTATTGGTGTAAAAAACAAAAATATTGTAACTTTGATTCACATTCAGGTGCATAACAAACGATCCCAAGACTCGACCAGATATAGTTGAGGTAAACCATCATTCACATAAATTAGATTTTACAATTATAAACATCTTGTTTTATATGAATTTGCATTCATTCATTCATTATCGTGCTTATCTCTTGATTTTTAGGTCGGTGCAATTATCAGCGAGGTGATGATGCAATACACCGACAAGTTACGCGTCAAGGAGCACGGCCTTCAAAAGAAACTGGATCGGGAGCGAAAAAGAACACAAAAGTATGTTAATAATTTACGAGATTTTTCTCAGCATCTCGTGTGAGATCAAACTAGGCTTTGCTTCAATTAGTTTTACAACAAAATTGAGTGGGTGGCCTGATGATTGCATGAGACCGTTCGAAAGCTGGAACCATACTTTATATTTCGCACACTTTTTGATGATCACGGATAAACTGTACGAGTACTGTACAATAGTAACTCGTACATTTTGCCTGAGTCGTTTTAATAACCCTGGTATTTTCGTAGGCATTACCACGAAGCGAACCGAAACATGCAGAATTATCACCGGTTATTCTGGGCTAATCAAGAACGTTCAGATAAAATGAGTGGTGTCTATACCAGTGCTGGTTACCACAGCATGAAAAGTGGCGGTGGAAGTGATGATAGTGATATTTTGTTTGATGATGTGGAAGCATATAAAGCAGGAACTATGACAGAAAGTGATCAAGTACGTGCTGTGTTGTTTGTTGACTATAATATTCTGTATATAACTTCTGTAAATTTGTTGAATTAACGTATATTGTTAACAGTTTTAACGTTTGCAGTCACAGCATGCAATTTGTTGAATTACGTGAAAATTATACGAATTGCGATTAAGATATTCTATCTTAAGATTATGATGTATAGGACTGTATTAAGTTATCTAAAGTTCCTTGTATAAATTTCGATTGCCTTTTCTCTTTAGGACAGTGGATTATCATGTGCCGCATCCTCAGAGATTACACCTCCAATTGATGCTAATGAAGATCTTCTGTTTAAAAAGTTGGAAAAAAAGAATGATGTTTCACCAAAAAGAACTGAAGATCGTTTTTCCACCGTCAATCCACCACCACGGCAATTACGAGATAAATCAGCCAGAAGACAACTTGAGTTGGAAATTCCTAGTACAAAAAATAAGGCGAAATCTGCTGTTCCTAGTTTACACTCACCAACGTTATCTCCAGATCCAACAAAACGACGAACGCAATCCAGGTATAATAATAATGCAATAACATCTGCAGCCGCGTTTAAGGATATGCTTTCTTTTTGATAAAAGTATAGTTTTCTATCGATATCTATAGGCATTGAAATAATGGTAAACCTGGGGAAAGTAATAATCATTTTTTTCTTAAAGCTCTTCTGTGGAGATGATACGACGTGGTCAGTCAAGTGTCCAGCCGAAACCAAGACCGCGTATGTATAATTTCTATTAGCTAGTCACTCTCCACATTATCTTCCCTTTTCAAGAACATCTGACCTAAATCATTCTTCGGTGTTAAACTGGATGCATGTTGGCAATACGCGCCCCTAACTATATTTTGATGATATATTTTTATTAGCATCAGCAGCAGCCACCTTAAGCATATCTCCAAGGAAAGTTCGCCAGATCAACGATCCAATTTTACAGATTTTAAACCAACTCCACAAAATTATATTCATTACCCAGGTAGGTTGATTGCCCTAGAAATGTTTCTGTCAGTTTTAATATGCTTGTCCGTGTTACATAATTAATGCACTGAAAATATATGCAGAAAGTGGTGTCCCCAGATGAGGGTTATCCTTGGTTTCTCGTTAATATTTGAGATAAAATTTTAATATGAAAATTTATTCATGTTTTATTCCAGCTTCCTCCGACATTCACGAGTAACGCTAATAGAAGGATTGTTGAGAAATTTAAACGAGCGTTGTTTTCCCAGCAAACGGGTTTTAATTTAAAAAGTGAAATAAAGAAAGTAAGGGTCAAGTGTGATTTTTTTCTAACTAAAATTCTGTTGTAAACAATGGTGACGTGGACATATATCATATCATTTCTTAGGTTCTTGAAGGATCTAAGGAAATAATTGATTTAAGTTTTGGTTTTGGTCAACCTTCTTATCTTTCCTCTCAAAATTCTGTTGTATCTCAAGGTGAGCAGTTAGAATTATGATGCAAAAGAATACCATTCTTTCTCGAGGATAGCACTGTCACGCTTTGTAAGCGTATAAAACCAACATGAGATCCTCTAAATATGACATATTTCAGCAAATTCAATGCAAGCAGAGGTGGTAGAAGGTGATACCCATGACTCTGGTATAACGTACGAAAAGATGCAGGTATGATTGTGTTTACTTTGTCATGTAACTATGACTTCAAGTATATGTTCAAACAATAAAAAATATTCTTCATTTTGAAGGCCATCGTTGAAAGTGTGCTGATGGAGAATGGTTATTATGATGTCTCACCAAGTATTAAGTAAGTTATCATTATTATAGAATATATATGTAGTTAAGTTACATTAAGAAATGGATCGTTCCTGAGTTCTAAGTGGTGTTAAAATGTCCTTCATTTAGGCAACGACCGCCATTAGGACCCATTGGTGGACTGAACGGAAGATGACGACAGTAGTATCAGTAGTATCGAAATTAATGACATTTTTATAATTTATACATTCACAGACATTGTACATATAATCACAGCATTTTTATCTAATTTTAATGTAGTATTTTAAAATTGTAGTATATTAAGTAGTATTTTAAAAACACAAGAAGGCGTGTTTTATCATATTCGCCCTGTGGGAAATCCGATTTCCTGGGGATTCCAACAAACAAAGTGATGCGGCGCAACGAACATGCAGGTGATGCAGTTTTCATTAATAATTTTTTACAACTGATTTCTGTAAATACTATATGAATAATTTTCAATAAAGCCTTACGGAGTGTCCTTAACCAGTCACAGTCATAGTCACTGTAATAATTTTCTTTATTTTTTTTGAATAATCGAAAAGTGAAGTGAAGTATTTAATAATTTGTGACTGAAAAACTTCATGTAAGTGTCAACGAACGAGAAATTGTTATGTAATCTGTTACAGAGTGCAACACCAGTTAACAACACGAGTTTTCTGTGATAGGGTCTGTGGTGGTGCGTGGTAGTTTTATGGTGGTAACAATGACAATATTTTAGTGGTCGATATGTTTAGCGGACACTTTTTGAAATCGGCAACGTTACTGGAGATATATGGGGGAAGACGTAAAAGTATGCAGAGGATAGGGCATTGCTTGCAATGTGTTAATACTGTTCCCCGGCGAAATATATCTCATCATAATTATCTGAGGTGTGTATGATGTTGTACAACTGCAAAGCTTGAAGTGTTCAAGAAACTACCTGGAGAACTGTAGTCTTCTTCAACATAAATGTATTTTTTCTTGATATTGTAGTGTACTATGCATAATTTACATTCAAGAAATCAACAGTCAAAATTTTTATTACAAGTTATTTAAAAGAACTTTTTTCCTATATTTAATTCAGTAGGCTGTAGGCTCTAGTAGAAAAATACATGCTTGCTTTTTTACAGATTTTCCTCCCAAACAAACTATGAACAGCATGCAAAACCACTTGATCCCCATCAATTCATAAAGAATGAGTTACAAAATGTCAATAATGATATAATAAAAGTAAGTAGTGCTGTAGACTAGTAGTGTTTATAATCGGAGCAAGCTAAGTGTCTGCTTTGCAACTAGGATATAATATTATTATAATAACTTTGCTTAATAACTTAAATTTATACTGTCAAAATAATGGACATTGTACAGTAATATTGTATGAATAAGAATTGAAATTCCCAGCCTGGTTATAACTGAAATGAACTGTTATCTGCCATCCACAAATATGATCTCACACTTGAATTTCAATTCTGGTAAAATGTCTCTCTACAACTTCTAAATTCTCTTTTTTTTTACAGGAGTTAAACACATCGCTTCAACCTCTTAAAACCATTACACATTATTATTTCGACAGTAAAGGTAAAATGTTCAGACCTGCGGTAATTCTACTTATGGCTACTGTGTGCAACAAACATTTATATGAAAACCCAGAAAGGTAAAGTTTTAACATCTTTTGTGGTAATTTATGATCAATTTATTCATTTTTGTACCATGAATTTCCAGGTGTGCAAAATTAATAAATTTGTGCAGGTTATCGGTGATAATAAATAAACCATTAGGCTATGTAATCCCTAAATATGATCTATTATTTGTTGGTTTTTTTAACAGTTTGCCATCAAATTCTCAAAAGACAATAGCTCGAGTAGCTGAAATGATCCATACTGCTAGTCTGGTTCATGATGATATTATTGATTTAGCTGAATCCAGGAGGGGGAAACCTTCAACACATAATATATGGGGGGAGAAAGAAGCAGTTTTAGCAGGAAACTATATAATGTCAAGAGCAACCATAGCATTAGCTAAACTTGGAAATACTGAAGTTATTAAACTGTTGTCCAAAGTTCTGGATGATTTAGTAAGAGGTACGTATAGTGGGGAGACATGCACACTAATTTCAAATCTGTAAATGAATAAATTTTCATACCCAATATGAGTGCTTTGCAATGGTGTCTTATACTCTATTATTATCAGTATTTCTTGAAAGCCTTAAATAACTTTTTTGCAGGATGTCTGCTGTTGTAATTGTCTAATATTGAGTTTGTATTTCAGGTGAATTTATGCAAATGGGATCACGAGAAGATCCCAATGAACGATTTACACATTATTTAGATAAAACTTTTAAAAAAACTGCAAGTTTATTGGCCTATACATGTAAATCAGTAAGTTCTGTTTGTAAAATTGACCATAACATCTGCAACATGGCACTTTTGAGTTTTTCCTGTGCAAGTTATTATAAGTAAAAGTATATTTACCACCCTGGACACATCATGCAGAGAATGTGAATGAATACAGTTATAATTTCTGATTAAATGTTTTATAAAAACTGCCTAAAATACACCCAAACATGTGGTATAACAACTGACTAAAACAAACAGTAATTTACTTGCTGAGTTAGCACTATTATAAACTTATATGACTGTCTGATGATTTTATCCAGGTTGCTCTACTAGCAAATGGTTCTAAAGAAGTACAAGATCTTGCTTTCGAATATGGAAGAAACCTTGGAATGACTTTTCAGGTTTATTTATTTGATATAACATGTACAATATATGTTTGATGTTTTGCTGTCGTTTTACTATTTGTGCAGGGAAAATGTCACCATTCCCATTTAGCCGTGACGGTCATTACTCTATATATATACGAAAAAAATTAAAACCGCTCTGCTTCCACATAAAACGAAAAAAAGTTTTCACATATACTCTACCTACTGATGCGAACTGGGATGGTGTTCACCACCCCTTCTCGTTAAATGAAGTCGCGGATCACCCCAAGGTTATACTTAAATTGCTGCTCGAGGTGACAAACACGCTGTAACCAGCGTGCATGCATAACTGGTAACCCGCCATTGCTTCTAATTTCAAAAGACAAAAGTTGTCTCCTCTCAGTTCTCAGGATTCCAGATTCAACAATCTTTTCCCGTTATTTCTAGTTGGTCGACGACGTCTTAGATTTTAATTCTACTCAGGAGATTCTAGGAAAGCCAGCAGCTGCAGATCTACGTTTGGGTCTTGCAACTGGACCAGTTTTATTTGCTAGCGAAGAGGTACAATAATTAATAATAACTTCGTGTACAAGATAAACAGCATAAACAACACCTTAAATGGTTCTTAAATTCAAAAAAGGTGACATGAATCTTACTATATTTAGTACGTTTCACACAAGTGAGTTAATTCTTCACCTGTTAAGGCGGGAATTTTCAAACAGCAACCCGATATTTTTAATACAATCGTGTATCTTCATTTACAACAGTTCCCAGAGATAACTGCATTCATAATGCGAAGATTTAAAGGAGAACATGATGTGGAAGAAACATATGAATTAGTAAGACAGGTAATCAAACGTTATTTTTTAATTCACACTGAAAAAAACCCCGGTGTTCATAACTTGGAAAGTCAACCCGCTTTAGACGGCAAAGGTTTTTCATGTACCAGATCTAAAAGTTAAGTTAAAGTATTTTTAGCTTTATTTTCACTCGAATCGGAACATCATGCGACGCTATTATTGAACACACATGCTTACAGTGCACCATACACCAATCATGTAGTTATTTGAGGATTGTTTCAAATACAAAAACCTGAATGAGACGGATTTAAACAACTATATCCAGCAATCCACTTGGCGGTTCTATCATGAATTGAGCTAATAATTTGTAATTTCATTCAGAGCACTGGTATAGAAAGAACAATGTGTTTAGCAAGACAGCACAGTCGGGAAGCGATACGGACACTCACAAAACTTCGACAAACTCCAGAAAGAGATGCTTTAGTAGAACTTACTGAAAACCTTTTGAAACGTACACACTGATTGGAAAGTGGGCAAATATTGTCATATCCATGCACATGCATAATATTTTATTGAGATCAAAAATAAAATATTATCTTCAAGTTAAACATGGATCATGAAATGTTCAATGATATCACTCTCACTTGCACCTCGAAAACAGAGGAGGTGTGTGCAAGTTGTTATAGTGACATGTTGTAATAACTTATACTGTATTCAATGTTAAGTGAACAGAAACACAGTCTTTGTACAGTTTATAACTAGTTCTGTCAATCTCATTCGTCGCCTGGGGACTGGACGGTACTTCTTTGCATTTCTTCTATCACAGACATGTGATTAAATTGATCAGGATTTTTATTAAATGTCCTCAGTAAAGACAGTTTCTGTCCATCATCTGTGCCATAGTAAAGTTGGATTAGATTTGCTATGAACATCGCTTCATGGGTGGCCTGGAGAATAAAACATGCGTCAAGAATATTTTTATAACTGACTGGCAACATCTTTGTTAAAGGTCCACAATGGTTTCGATATACTTTTTTCCGGTCACATTCCCAGTTGTCATACAAACATGATACATACAATGTATTCAGGGTGTTGGCTGGTAAAGGATCGCTCACTATGGTAAACTTACAAGTTGTTTTGTATCTACTTCTCCAACCATTAGGACAATTCCTTTATAATGAAAAAAATTCATTTCCATTAGAAATCACGTTGATTTGTATAGGGTCTAAAAAAAGGTCGATTGTCAACGTTCATAGTGATGATGCAAATTCGTGATAGATCATGTTTGCATGAATTGATAATGTATTGAAAAAAATGAAGATGAACACCTTTGCTTTCTTTTAGTTCAGTAAAATGTGTAAAAGCAACAAGCCACGGTGAATTCTCCCCAAGCGTCTAAAAATGAAATGAATAAACAAGCCTCAGTTACAACCAACCTGGATACCTCGTTTTCTAAACCTGGCCTTTTATCCTACATACTGTACATATATAGATTATAAATTAAACACCTACAAGTCTGCCTTTGAGAGGATTTAAATATTATAGGGTATAAAACAGATTATGTATGGATCATACCTGATAATTTATGACTGATGTTAGGTAAAACTGGTCATCTGAAAACTCTCCAACCATTAATTCATATCCTTCATTGCGCGGAACGGGGTAAACGAACTGAAAAATTGTTAACTCATCATGGACGGTTGTACAAAAAACCAATTAAGTTCAAAGTATTGTACAAAGTATTTTATCACCTACAAATAGTCCTTTTGAAATCGTCCTATAATTTCATAAAAAACCCTCATACTATACGAGGGATCGTCTCATTTGCACCCCCTACTGTCCAGCAATGTCCTGCTAGGGGATACTGCATTGTACCCACGTACCATTGGGTATTCTCTAGCTTTTTCTTGTATTTTATCATACATTTCTGCCTACAATAATAAGTTAAAGATTGAATTTTACAGAAAATGTAAACCCTTTACAGCAAAAAGGGATCATATTCAAAGTTAGAAAATATTCAACGAGAATAGACTAAAAAGATGTTTTCAACGTACTGGTATAACAGCGGAAACACAATCCTTGTTTCTGTGATGCTCTCTCCAAAGCTACAATGTTAAAAGCGTACAAATACGAGGTAAATATTGCTATTAAAACTTAATTGTAGGAAATGACAAGTTTTAGGAATGCAACCCTTTCGAAAATCACGTTACTGGATCTGGTCTAGCCTGCGTGAGCCAATCAACTTGCGTCTTTAAACGATTGAAAGGGAGGCTACCTGGCCCAAAACGTATTCGTGACGTAATTATTAAAAGGGTGTATATATTTATTTTTTTCAAATGGTTCTCTATTACGAGCACTTGAAACAAATTCTGCTTGACTAAAAATGAATGATTTTACAGTGAATTTTGGTGAAAATCTCGTCTCAGTCTGAATCCTTTATTGACAATGTATTATATGGTATGTACTACACAACAATAAGTAAAAGATTGATTCTGTTCAAACCTCTTCTATTGTACCAGCGCTTTCATCCTTAACTTTCTCTAAATGCATTATGGCATCCAGTCCCTAAAGTGTTTTGGATGGAAATATAGCAGTTCAATGTTGCGAAATGTTACGATGCCGCTATTGTTAACAGTGTTAGGGTTGATGTTACGCGTTACTGAACCAGTCGTCGTCGTTGTCGCCACACCAAAAAACGTTGTATATATATTTATACGTACGTACCTTTTGCCCATAAAGTGAACGTGACCCATCTCGAGAGTTTGGACTAATCGAACTTTTCTATAACAAATCAATGTACAGTGTGTGTTGTTTCTTATCAACAGAGCAAATAAGTTGAAAAGCAACCATAATTTTATCATTCAAATCACTCCTTTTACCCAAGCATTTACTTTGTAGCAAAAAACAAACTGATGAACACTCAAAATCTGCAGTCCAACTGCTTGTTGTCTCCTGCGTAATAAGGCTCATAAAAAGAGATCTTCACTCTTCAATACCTTTTGAGATTTTGCTTTAAAATCCTCAATTTCACGATTCAAAACGTTTTCATAGAAAGTTGAAGATGTAGCCTTGGTTTTTTGATTTTCAACGCTATATATAGTTTAATGAAATTAACAGCTTGTATTCATCAACAATGTACTTACAAACATTGTAAAAAGTAACACTAACACTTATAAGTTCTGTTTTTCTATAGTTTTACACTGTATGTATTGCGCAGTTTCAGTTATTTATTTAGACATCTAGTACCTTTGACTGCTTGTGGCTCGCTTAATTTTTTCTGCATATTTATCAAAAAAGGGATTCGATGTAATCTCGTCCTTTTCAGTACTATAACAAGCGGCAATAAATGAGGTCGTGTTTATTCGCTTGTTCCTTCCCTGAAGTAAGAATTGCCTGAAGTATATTCCCACTCCTCTACGGACCGCCATATTGAAATATCATTCTTTAACGACTAGTTTCCATTCTCAAAGCACGACAGGAACAACTCTGGGAACAACTCAGCGCCATTTTTGAAAATATTGACAAAACAAAAAACATTTTTTATTGTATTCTTATTTTCTCCAGATCGAGAAATGATCTACTAAGCAATTTTTGCATTTATACAAAGGAAATGATTGAAACTGTCCGTCAAAGACAGCGAAATGCTATTGACTTTAAGAGCTGCTACGAGAATCTCTGTGCTTTACAAGGTTCCTGTCCATTGAGTATCGTAACAGCAAACCTAGCGGACGAATCTGTTGACTGTAATGCGGACAGGATTCCCCTGCAAGACTGGAATCCCATCTTTAACGCAACTAGAATAAATAAGAACTTGAAAGTTATTGCTTTGAAGAGTTATTGGCAAGAAAAAATTAACAATGGACAACCAGGTATAAATGCATGACGTCTTCTATATGAAGAATCGATTCCAACTGCAAAATCCTGAAGCGATTTATATGCCCACTAGATCCTGCTATTTGTTAACGGTCCCTTAATGCAATGTGCATACCTTCTAGGCAGTATACAAGAATAGCCCAGATTTAACTATATGTAAAATATATTTCCAATTTACTCTATGCCAAAGATCTTTCTGGTGTGACTACCACACTATGTTAAACTGACAAACTACTGTACACCTGGCTGAGGTATACTGTAAGAGGATGATGTGCTTTGTGTGGTTCAATGTTTAGAATTTGTCAGTGGTATGAACTTGTGTCGAAAAAAAGCACCACCAATTAGATCAAAGGATGTCACTTATAAACTATGCAGGTATAAATAAAGTTGATGAATTGTAGAGCAGTAATGCAACCATTGTAAAAATGTCATTAACATGATTACTTTAGGTCTTTGAAGGACTGTCTGAGTGTAACAGAACAACTAGAGGTTTTGATTTTGCAAAATGTTCCTTTGAGAACTCGTGATCTTAATTGTTTATCCAAGGTATTGGATTACATTGATGGTTAAATTAATTTTCCCATGTACATTAGATATCACTAATTTTCTGTGTACCTTCATCAGGGGCTGTTTAGAAACAAGACCCTTAAACATCTTTCATTTGAAAACTGTCAAATTGGTGACAATGGATTTGAAGGTATGGAATGAAATTATATCAATACACCATGTTTGATTGTCTTCTTCCCAGTAAACTTCCCATCAAGAATAAACACGATAATTTCTTATAGTAATCACTATTTAATTTTTAGTCATAAGCTTGGCTATCAGAAGTTGTTACTCTTTACAGTCCTTAAATCTAACTGGTTGCTGCCTAACATGGCGTGGGGCAGAAACGCTAGCAAAATTGATTAAGGTAGAGTTATACGTATGTCATGTATATCATAGACCAGTCAGGAACAAATATTCACCACAGCTTTCAAATTCAGTCAATCTTCACTGCAAGTGACAGAGAAGTATTTAGAGAACGAATAAAGAAGGACTAAATTGACTTATGTACTGGTATCTTGCGTCCTCTGTGCGACCTTCTTGCAGCTATATATGGATATATATGGATATATTATTAAGGTGTAATTTACCTCGTATATGTACGTTCCATGTTCAGCTTCATATATGTTTCACAATGCTAACCTGGCCGCAAACGTTTTACTGAGCATCTGAACATCCCAAATACAGACACTGTGTGGGAATACTTCGGTATATAAGGCGTAAGCGTAAAGTTCTGAACGACCTCTCAACGTAACTTATCTCCGTACTTTCAGTTCACTGACATTGTTTGCTAGTTTGATTAGTTCAGTTTATACAGTTGCCTCGTGAGAGGTCGTGACACTCGATCTAACGCATGATCCACAAACGTTTGCGCCCAGGGCGTAGCAAAACACTGTGTTTTACTGGTACATGGCCCTGTTTGCACCTTTGACCGGTGGCTCGCTCTACAAATGTCTTCTTGTCTTCTAACATAAATTTAGTGAAGGAAAGTCCTTCCCTAAGACCAGGAGACTATATGTATATGTATCTTGTACCTATAACTGTAAAGAGGTTCTAGTTAGACCAACTGAAGGTAGTCCTTAGTCAAAATAGTCCTTAGTTAAGGTAGTACTCGCGTGAACCCCTATCGTACCAAAATATTCTGACGGAACTTCTTTTGTGTGTGATTAGCAATTTACACTGTGCCGCTGCATTTAGTACGTGTGATGTGTTTTACTTTTTACCAAACAGTATCAAGCAACAAAAAAACATAGTTTGGCGTGGCAAGACAGTTTACGATATCGTGTGCCTGACTTAGATAGAATGTCTGGACTGCGAAGAATTACAGTTTGTAAGAACAGTTTATTGGGTGACAGAGGTGTTGAATCACTTGCTGAGGCTCTAAAAGATGATCTATGGCTTAAAGGTGGGCTGTAATATGTAAAACATGCTTATGAAGCAGTTTTGGTAACCATGCTGACATCATATCAGACAAAATATGTACATGTAATGTCATTCAGTATTCAAATTCATTCGGTATGTGCATGGATTTGTATGTATATGAGTTTGTATGACAGAAAACTATGTAGAACTGATGTGCATTAATGCATGTATTAACGCACGTCACTGAATGTTATTAGATGCTACAGTATGATGTTATCAATAGTTCTTTATGAATCACCTGGCTTATCATTTAACTGCACGACTGTATGGACATTTTATGGACATTTCATGCGTACGAGGAGGGAAAAAACCCTGTTTTATATTGTTTCACTAATAAACACCTTGAAATAGTGCTGGTGGCACATATCTCACCTATGTAAACAAATCTTTTCCACAGCTCTGGATTTGCAACAATGTGGCATTTCCAATCGAGGTGCCCTCGCACTCCAGTCATTATTGAGATGTAACAAGTCACTCGCGGTTCTTGATTTAAGAATAAACCCGTTGATTGGTAAGATGAATATTGAAGTTTTTTTCTGTTGAGAAACTTGATTGGCTTCTTCAAATGAAGTGCATGCTGGTCAAATATATACATCATCTCATCAGTACGCTCCATAATGATGATGATTTATAAAGATGAATTAAAAATATATTTAGATTAAATTGTGTTGGTGCATTTGACTTGTGATTGTTTTATATTTTGGTCACATCTTGTTTAACACTGCTACAGCAAATTACGATAAGAAGTGATATTGTGATAATAAAATGTACTTGCAGTTGTGATAATATAGCTTGTGTTTAGCCTGTATTTTTATTTAAAGAAAGAGATTTGATTACGTCAATCACTCAACATGTTCTGGTTAACGCTGGTCGAGGAGAAACAGAAGTACGTAACTATCAGACAACTGCTAAATATTTGTGTTTATCACCAATTGTCTCTGGTTAAATACACGATATTTACCATACACATACATGTATATCCTTCTATATCCACACAGTATGCTTACCATACATATACTGTATATCTTCTATATCCACACAGTATGCCTGGCTTGGTGTTCAAGAAACAAGTCCTTCTGGAAGTAAATTAAAGAAGACAAAACGGAGACGATCAAAAACTGGCGCGACAAAAACTGGAGTGTCAAAGTAAATTATTTTGGGAACAGCTTTTAACAGTAATTTATTTGACCTTCGCTTGAATTTCGTAAAACAGTTCAACTGTGTGGCGGGGTGATTTCATTTCTGTGGAATGGATTATCATGCATGCATGTATATTACGGCAATTTAGACAATTAAAACTGACAATACATGATTGATGTTTTTAACTGCGAGACCCCATTCGAGAATTTTGGTAAGAAAACATACATATTTTATTGTTGTAGAGTTAAGAGATCCAGTATATCAATCAAAACTACCAGAGGTCATGGTATTCCATGGAGAACCGCTGCGAGGGTTGGGACAAACAGGTCAGAACTTTTCCTCTTTTGTAATTTGTTTGTTGTTATTTATCATTTGAACTCATTTCTAAACACGTGTGTAGGCTATAATGCATCTCATTGACTGTTTGTTTCATTGGTTTAACATATCCATGCGGGTCTGTGTAATCAGGGTTGTTTTCGTTAAATGTTTTGACGTTTTTAGCTCCCTGGCAAAATATCTTTACCTGAAAAAAAAGTAAAATTTGCCTTCTTTTACCATGATCCTTGTTTGCAAAACGAAAGAAAATCTCTTTTTATGTTTTAGACATAAAAACAATACAAGAACTTGGCCGTTCACTGGAACACAGGTTTAGCAATGATTTTGCTCTAATTTAAATTTGAGTGTCAGTTTTGTCACAAGTTTTTTACTTGCGTATATAACTAACGTTTAATGGATGATAGCGCATGCGCATTATCTTTATAGCAATGTGTTAAACCGTAAATCAATTTTTATTTACATAAATATAGGACAGAAATACTGAAGGGCTGAAGGAAAAAGAAGAAAAAACAGAAGCGGAAAAATCAGAACTTGAAGAAGAACGACCTACCAGCAGCTTAGGTACATATGTGGCAAATAAAAAGCTGTATATATAATTATGAGGGTTGGATTGGTTATATATGCTGACTTTGAACACTTCATTGTGTTCAACAAATTTTAGACTCCCCGTTTTGACCTCTAAGTACATGTCACCTTGCCTCGTCAATTACGAAGATAAGAAAGATTGTACCTCTTAGTTTTCGCTTATAAATGAAGAAAAATCAGAGAATCTGAAATAAGAATATACATACAGGCAAAAATTATAATTTGAATTAAAAATTTTATACCATCATAAATATAAATAACTTTGTTTCCAGACAAGTCACAGGACGATACGCCGGAAAGAATTCGACAATTAGAGGTACTAAAACGTAAAACGTCTTAAAAAATTTTAATCAAAATTAAGACTCAAATCCATTTCTATCATAATGACGTCATCTATATAGAATATTTATTGTTGTAATTTGACAAATATGATGTTTGTTTCAGATTGAGGTCGAGTATCTTAAACATCGTCTGAAAGAGGAGAACCACACTAGGACAGTAGAATCAGAACAACTTCTTGAGGTTGCTACTATTTCCTAAACGTTCACGTTGCATCTAACCATGGTTTCATATGCATATGAAACAATTGTAGCGTCTAATATATGTATTATCTCTTACACACAGTTACAATTGGAAAATCGGCGGCTTCGGCGTGAAATTGAATTTTTGAAAGCTGTTGGCTCGGTAAATTTCCAAATCAACATCTGTTTTTTTTAAATCAATGTTTTTTATGTGAATTTTTTGGGAATATTTAAATAATGAATGCCACGCATTTATTTTTTCTCTGGCAGGTTTCTGACGACCAAGGTTCTTCTCGTCAACCACAAGTATGGGGAAAACGCCGAAGTAAGTATTCAGTTCAGTATTTAATTCTGCATTTGGGCATATTCCCCAAATGGCTGGAAGTTTGTTTGCTCTCTGCATGATTACGCTCTCTCAGAACATGCACCTGAATGTGGCGCTGCAAGTTCGTAACCTGTTAAAAACACGTCTAGAAAGAACGTTTTAGTAGAAAACTAAATATAATGTATCTACAAAGTATATGCATGGTAATTTCCTTTCAGTTTCAAGAACAGACCTCTTAGATGACAATGTGTTGGAAAGCATTGAAACTTCCTTCAAACAATTTCATGCATTTTTGGACATGTTGAATGGAGCAGAGTAAGTTTTGTATCATGTTAGTGACATCATCTTTAAACAACCCTAAAGCAATAAAAAAGCTTGTGTTCTTGTATTTGTAGGTTGAAGGATCTACAAACATTGCTGGATCAAATGCGGTTGGAGAAGGCAGGTTCAAAACACGAGGTTTCTAATACAGGGGCGTATAAAGGAAGGTGAAGCAGTTGGCATTGCTCAAAACATCTTACATTTGCTGTATTTATAGCTATGTTGTCATATAGTAAAGTGAGGTAATGACTCCTTATAACTCCGAATTCATAGTGACAAACATAGTGGGTACAGTGCTAAAGATATTTTAACTGTATAATAATATAGGCGTGCAGCTTTATAATAATTTTAAGATTAAATAGAAAGTATCGCTTGTTTAAGAATTATACTATATCATTCAGTACTCCATACACTAATGAAGTTTTGTTGCTAATGACCGATAAACAATAATCAAACCTAAGTTGGGAATATTGGATATGTCCACCAAATATAGGAACTTTGAACATGCACGCGAACAAATGAATGACTTATATTAACCGTTTTGACATCCCTTTGCTTGATTATTCAATTGGTATAGAATTGCAAGCTCTCTACAGGATATTTTGTGTGTTAAACAATAAGCTGTTGGATGTATCGCCAATATAACTGTTAATCATGTGGAGAGTTTTATCAATTATTGCATGCCTCCTATATGTCGTTCTTAATTCGGGTTGTTTTAGGTGAAATTAACCCCCCGTTTATTGTTTCCTAACATGTATTATGATACGATTTATCTGCCTAAATTAAAGAACAGGCTGCTTGTTTAGATGCAATCATGCTGGTTTGTTTTTTTTGCAAAGCGACTTGTGGTATAATATGTCTGTTTGCTAGCTGTTACGAACCTTGAGCTCCGGGCTGCGTCGCTTTTTTGTCGTCTTGCTATATTCGGTGCTTGATTTTTCAAATTCAATACGGCGGTTTATTAAACGATGGCGCAAACAAGGGCCGAAAGCTGTGGCGGACGCATGCGTGAATTATAAACGTTTCAATCTCAAATACTAAATCATGCGCTGATACGGCCACACATGTCGCTTAGAGCATGACCGCTTGCTATACACCACTAGCAGAACATACAAAACCTTCTGTCTGGCTGTAGTGTATATCAGCAAACTATATTCACCCGCTTATGTGGTATTTTATCGCATTCTCTTATCACACCAAAGCAAATGTGTTTTCTTTAAACAAATGAAGTGTTAAATAGTGTGTTGAGGGGTTTGGATGACGACAAGGTTGATAAAAAAAAGTATATACCGTCGCTCTTTACCATAGCTACCATCTTTCTGGATAAAATTTACACTTACTATTATTGGTTTTGAAAAGAAATTATGCATGTTCAAGTTTTTATTTTATCTTATTTCCTTTTAAATGACGAATGTAATTCCCACGCATGATAATGCATGAGGTCAATAGCGAACGAAAAAGTTATCTCTATATATTTGAAAGCAACCTGTGTCTCAATGGATTTCAGACGTCTGTTACCCGTTTTGCGTGTTTTTTTTCACGGTATATCGATGAGATCAACTGATTTTATGGCACAAAGGGTTTTTATATTGTTTGCTAAACTTGTACAACCGAGTTTATCATTTTATCAACGAAAACTGGCACAATTTATGTTGTATATAATGAGTAACCTTGAACGTATCATTGTTCACATATATGACAAAAGAGCGACGTGCTAACAGACTTAATACAAAAGATTAATGTTTTGTCCACCTACATGGTATAAATGAATAAGAGATTACCTCCGGCTCCGCTGTTGGAAGTTTGAAGCTAACGCTGGGCTTTAACGCCAATAAAAGTTTTGATGTTGGTTTAATTAGATAAACAAATTGTTTTCAGACAGGATTAATTAATGAAGCGATTGTTTTGAACTATCAGCAGAAATACAGCAGCTTAACACAGTATGGCGGCAACTGGTAGAAGACGAAGTGTTAAAGGCTATTCCACGAATACAATGGCACTGAGTCAACGAGTTGTGATAAACGTTGGCGGTCAACGTTTTCAGACGTATTTTGGCACACTCACTGCTATAGAACATACACGGTTATGTTGGTTGGCCCAGAAACATCCATTCTCGCCCGAGTACGATCACGCAAATAAAGAATATTTCTTTGATCGTAATTCTGTGATATTCAACGAAGTGTTAAATTATTACCGCACGGGACAACTCCACTGCCCAACTCATATTTGTGCCTCGCAGTTTGCGGAGGAGCTGGCCTTTTGGGGAATCAATACACACAACATGGAGTCGTGTTGTTGGGTACACTACAAGAATCAAATAAAAAATGAAAAGTCTTTACAGTCGTGTGCTAAGGAAAAACAAGAAAATACAGAATCAGCAGTAATTGACGTCCATCAAAGAAGTTCGCAAGCTTCAACTGAAGCTTGTGTTGATAAAGTTGCTGTTATGTGGAAGAAGTACAAGAAAATAGCTTGGACAGTTTTGGAAAAGCCGAACTCAACAACCGCATCGAAGGTTATTTTATTATCTATATGCATACATGCTTACACTAGCTAAACTAAATAACCTCAACTGAGAACTTTCGGATTACTTGCCCTTGTATGAAAGGAGAATTACAGGGGAGGACGTCTGCTTCCATCGCCTTATATAGTCTAAAGCATTTGCCATATATTGTTTAAGATAATTCAGTGTATAAATAAATAATTATCTTCATCCTATTTAATGCATTAATATAGTTCAATAATTTTTTCTTGTAGGTTTTCGCAGTGTTTTCTAGTATCTTCATCATGTTAATGTTGCTACAGTTTTGTCTGCGTAGCTTGCCTCGATTTCTTGACGACGTGGCCAGTGTGTACATACTCGACAAAATCTTTGAAATATCTTCTCTTTATTTCACACTAGAATTTCTCGTTCGAGTCCTCTTTTGTCCCAGTAAAATTAAATTCCTCAAATCGTTTATGAACTGGATAGACTTTGTAACACTACTTCCGTATTTTTTAAGTTTCTTATTAGAAGATACAAGAACAGTTTGGCTTATCCCGCTCAAAACAATTCGTTTATATCGACTGTTTAGTCTTTCAATATCATTTCAAATTATGCTCAAGGCAATTCTGGCAAGTGTCAATGAGCTTATTCTTGGCTTAGGAACTATAATTATTCCAGTGATCATGTTCTCGTGTTTTATCTACCTTGCTGAAAGAGATGCGAATTCGGAGATGTTCGGCAATGCTCCGGAATCATTTTGGTGGGCTATCGTAACCATGACAACATTAGGTTATGGAGATAAGGTTCCAGTCACCGGACTAGGCAAGTTGATTGGGGTCACCTGTGCACTATGCGGTGTTGTTATCATAGCGCTGCCGATATCTGTTGTGGGAAATAATTTTTATTTTCTCTACACTCAAGCTCGTACCCGAAAAAAGAAACCTTCGAAAGAAACTATCGCCTCAGCCGTAGCACATATACCATTGATTAACCTTAGAGTGTTAGGATCAGCCGCTGATGCTAGTGATAGCGGGCCTCAGAATGAGAATGACGTAGATGATGACGATGATGAAGATATTGTGTTTCGTGACGTATCAAGGAATAGTTTGCCTAAAACTCGACGCAAGCTTGTTACAATCTCATAATAACGACCGCTTTGCCTCCCGACCACTTGGCAAGAACGTATGCCATTGAAACAAAGAAATAAGTTACGATATTTTCAAAAAATCTTGATCAAACGAGAACAGAAGTCCATTGCAAGTTGGCAGGAACATTTTCTCAATCTGACGAGCTCAACTTCCCAATTGTATTTGAAGTCGATACGACTTTGAGAGTGGCCGAACTGAACTCCGAAGTTTCGTCCAGTCAAACAAAACTGTTCAAATTTCAGGTGTCTAAACTTGTCTTGTGTAAACGGAGTCCACAGCACCAGAGCATTCATAATCATCGATCGTTCCTTTACATGCCCATGCCACCGTTTAAATACTATTTCACTATCTTAGGCCGACAATGGCTGTTTTAGACCTCCAGATCGAGTAAGCTGTAAGCCTGACTTCGCCACATTTGACGTTAGAAATCCTGGGGGACATTTCTCGGAAAGGAATGCGAATAAGGACTGTAAAAATATTAAAGCCGTGATTATATACATGCATGCATGTGCAAAATTTGAATAAAAAGGTTGCATGTGCGTTACAAAGCTTTAATTGCTAATAAAAAAACTTTAAGTATACTTTAGGAATAGTTTTTCACCCTATCTGATATAAAAGCTTGACGAAATATAAAAGTTGTTCCTAAATAGATTTAACAGGTATCCTAAATTTTAGCGACATGAAAACTCGCATATTTGCTTAATACTTTATTATAACACAAAACCATTGCACATTAGTCTTGGATATACGAGTTGTCACTTGTTATGTGTTCGTCAGGCCGTATAACCCCTAAAGGTTTCGCGTTGTTGGGCTGGAAGAATGCCAGCTTCACCAACGCTGCATGACGAAGATTAAGCTTTTGTAATTGTTGTTTTAAACTCATCAGTTAATTATTAGAATTCGGTATTTCCATGATTTGGCATAAGTTGTCCATTTCCGTAGGTCATTAAATATATAGCTACTAAAACCGCATCAAATTATAGCCGACACAGATCGTTGACTTAAATAAAACATAATATTGCATGACTTCAGCGGTACCATGCATGGGCAAAAACGGCGAGTCAATAATATCAGTCGTCAGCTTAAATAAAAAAGATTCCTCAAAATAACATCCTACGTGTAGAACTTCGTGCATGCAGCGTCGAAATAATATTTTTCAGAATATGCAACATTCAGCAAGTTTGCTAGAAACTCGTTTAATGCATTCCTCTTGTCGGCGAATTGAAAAAAAAAACGGCCTATAATATTGTTTACAAAAATTAATTGCTTTCGGAGAAAAAAAATTGATTGATTTTGAAGAACCTCTTGTGGCCTAGAGGCCATTTGGGAAAGGTAGAAAAGGGGGCAATTTAACTAAATGATAAAAGAATAACAAACGCTACGATAAAAAAAAGGGTGTGAAGGGTACTTTTAGGACAGCCCGAGGTAATTTTATGGCTTAATTCCGTTACATGAACACCACTGCAATAAACCTTGGCCCAAACTTTTCCAACATTCCTATTGCTGGAATTTTGACAGATCTCGTAATTTGCAAGACCTGCATGACAGTGAGGCTCAGCTGTACTCTGACTCGACTTTAGTTTTCCTGTTTTGACTGCCTGGTTCACGAGAAAAATGTTTCCAACAACGCGTTGCCACAAAAACTGTTAGAAGATGTATTCCAACCATTTTCTATGCCATATAGATAGGCTTAACGAAGAATACAGGCTGTACCTGTATTTGTAAGACAAAGGTTATCAGTTTCGATTATATAGCTTTACAGTCACATAATCATTTGATTTATTGTATAATTATGATTAGAAATATTTATTCGCAGGATCAACTTTGTTCCAAATAATCATTGTCTTATACCAAAGATATTTTAGGCAGTTGAAAAATCGCTGAATTAACTCAAATAAGCATGAATTTTCTTTCAGTTACCACAATTCAGAAATGCCAGCATGTGGTGTCATCCCAGATCTTACCGATCAAACTATTGACAGTATTACTGTTAAAGTTTATACTCGACAAGATATTGCATGCATGCAGCATGCGCCAGACATCCTTCAGCCGGACACAAACGATTTCACTTCGACCGCTAAATAGTGGAATAATCTCCAGGCGCTATAGATTGGTTTTCTCAAATACCATGCATCAGACCAACGCATGAGCGGCATAACTGTGTGTTTCTCCGGCTATATTTATTGATTTACTCATTTCAACCACAGATATTACATACTGATATTGCATGTGAATTCCAGTCATCTTATTTCAAGAATCTCTTACTGATATCAACTTGGGTAAGTCGAGATTTTGTCCCGGTGCAAATCCGGCTTTAACTAACTCATGAATTCATAATGCGACATGCAACACTATGCAACACTTTGTCACGTGATTAGGCGTGACAATTTCCGAATAAAAAAAGAAGAATCAAAATAAATACTTGCATTATCATGCGACTTCAATGACACTAGTACACGGCTGCTGGATAAAGGCTTCTCTTAATAACTAAACGAAATTCGGAAGTTTTTTTGGACCTCCAAGGTAATCATTTTTTGTCCATTATCAGGTATGTTGTTTGGTTGTTTTGAAGCAATGAATAAGAGGTCGTCGACAAGTAGATTTTATCTTGCATCGCAAACTTTATCCGCGATTGTTTGAATCCCCTCCCAGCCTCCTCCCCTAACCCATCGCGGACAAGGTTAAAACCCAATTATATTTATTATTATAGGTAGAAGTTAACTATTCGTTTATAAAATCAGCTGCAAATCTCTATATAACGATACTACTATATTTTTCAATCAAATAGTTTAACCATCAAACGAAATATTATAATACACGTATACACGTACTATATTGTACTAAGTTTTCGTCCTAAAAATTTTGCAAGAGCGGATTCATCTCTGCTACGGTGACAGCCCCTAATGATATTTTGCGTTTGTTTTTATCAGAAAAGAAGGAATTAGAGGGGAGAGGGGGTATAAATGCAAAACTGAAGGTGCGGTGTAAATATACGTGTTCGTATCACCAATGCTTGTGTGCTTGCAAGCTGGCTGTTCTCACTTCTTCATGATATATATTTTCATATGTCTGAGAATGAATATCATGCAGGCAAGCGTCTTTAGCAAAGTTTAGTCGTATAATTTGTGCTCTAGCCTTTTTTATTGAAGGTCAGTTGGTGTTTTAATAGCTCTTTAGAATCATATTGTATTGCATTGCATAAGCAGATATGAAGCCAACCGACATCTTATTGTATGCTGTTTAACTAAGAACGTCAGGAGAATATCCCGGACCCTCGATTGTCCCCGATAATTCGATTGTCGCATTGCAACAGTATTAGAATTTTTTTTTCCTGTCTAGAAATACCTCTCCGATTTTCTAAAAACTGGCGCGTATTCACTTTGTCTTCTAGACTCTTCCATCTATAGTCATATTGCGTTATAAGAAATAACGAGAGAATAGAATAGAAATATTTGCAATATAAACACCCTTGAAACTGCTGTCACTGGCATACTGGTTGCATACCACAGACTCGAGAGAAGAAAAATATATGAATCATGCAATGCGGTCATGCATGCACAATGTAAGTGGGTACTTGTGTCTTTCAACTATATATGATGAGAACAGTTTTCCACCAAACACGAGGAAGCCAACGTTCCAACGATTATTTTTGTGCATCAGCACTGGCTGCATGTACACTTTAGTATTTGCATATAGTGAAGACATGTGTTGGAACCTGAAATCAGAAAAAGTAGGCCATAAAATATTTCAATTGCATTTTTTTATACGAAATCAGCTCCTTATGGAAAAACACCTTTCATCCTTCATGGAGCTATTTCTGAAAGATATATTCTCACAAAAAATTTGGATTTATAAATACGAAATTGCAACTGTGAACATACGCGTTGACGAATAATTTACCAAGGAAAATTTGCTGAGGTGGAAGAAAGAACCATATTTGTTCACTCTGGATTTGCCAACAATATTCCAGCTACGATGGCATTGTGTATTTACAGACTTATATTTATTATTTCACGTCAAATTGAAAAACTTAAAAGCACTTCGGTGACGTGGGTATCTGGTTAAATATGAAGTTGATAAAATAGAAAGCGTCTGGCAGTATAATTTGATGATTTTGATCACTATGGTCACAAAAATAGGATAGTACATTACATAGGAAGGAGCAATTAGAAACTCATTTCCTGTCTTCTTTAAAAAAAATTCGTCATATCCCAGACGTTTTTACACAATGACTTTGGCAAATTAAATTGCTTAAGACACACGAGGCAATGTCGTATTTGTCAGTTCACTTTCGTATTTACGCCTGCTAGAGCTCTTCTTTTCATGTTTGAGTAGTGCATTGACGTTTCGTCTTTCCTTTCACAAAAATATTCAAAATATCAGCAATGTTCAGAACAACGTCCTCCTTGGGGTTGGGGAGTTGATTATATTTAGATCAAGAAGGCTCAGAAGACTAAAGTTTTCCTGTTTTGACTGCCTGGTTCGCAACGATAACGTTGCCAACAAATGTTCCTAAATAAACACCTTTGAGCGCGCAAGTATTCAAAACATTCCCAACCTAAAGCGAAAATTGCAAACTTTAGGAATAGATGAATGTAAGCTCGTCCGAGTGTCTCGAAATATATCAGTATACGTTTTTTAATGAAACACTATATCTGCGTGAATTAATGGTTACAGGAAACAACCCATTTTTAAAGTTTGAAACTAAATATGCAACTAATTATTGATGCTCATGCAACATGTACCAAGAACAAACCTCAACCCTTGAGTAATCAAATCAGTTTTGTTACTGAAATAACTGGTGCGTGCGTTTCTTTCGCATAATTGAAGTATTTTATAGATCGTTTAAATCTCATAACTGAATTATCACCTTGGGTCTATTGATGAGATCGAGGTTTCCCCGGAGGAAATCCGGGGATAGCGTGACACATCAATTCATAAAACGACATCTTTTTGATCATGTGACCTTTGCAAAATAAAAAAAGAAAAGAAACTTCAACATTAGAAGCACTCCACTTATCTTGAGACTTCAAGAAGACAAGATTCCCGATATTGCTGTCTATAGAAGCTTGTCTTTCAAGTTGCTAAATAAGTACACACAAAATCAGTCTCTACAAGAATTTACAACAGAATTATATACGTAAATTTTAAAGGTTTTTGGGCTCGCCTCCCCAATCTCTATGCATGGGGCATGTATATTCATAATTCTCCGGCATGTTATATGCAAAACGTTTTTGACTTGTAATTTTTTAGCTAACTTACTCCCCGTGCGCGTGAAGCAAAAATTCGCAGGAAACACGATTCTTCCGCAAATGCACTGATAGAAAACGTCCCTTTAAAAACATTCGTGGTAAACGCAGTTTCAAATATTCCAATGGAAAACGCGTTTCGCTGTAGCTTCTTCATCAAAAACACAGACGAAAAACGTTCCTTTAAAAATATTCGTGGTAAACGCGGTTCTTTGTGTTCACTAAAGAATAGGTACGTTAAGCGTTCAAGTATCTGGCGCAAGATATCATCGTGCTTTATATAGGATTTTACCTCCTGTTGGCTGAAAGAGAAACAGAATTTTATTGGTCTGGGTGTGTGCTGTCGTCCATATATGGACCTATTTCTTGTAACATAGCTCTATATCAAAATTTAACCTCCAACAATATTGGACAAGTAATTATGCCGATAAATAAAGCATATATGTAATGAGATTGTTCCAATTATGCATTGATTACCTTGAGTGTTTTATCATATAACCTCAATTTTTTCAAATTAAATCCGAAACTAGACATTTTTCATTCGTTTTGCTTTCAGAGACAATTCGTAACAATGTTTAATAATAATACAACGTCGAACAACACCGTGGATCATGATGTTGATAGTTTAAAGGATCACTTCAGAAAGATTCAACTTGTCCCATTCTGTATCATAATGGTTGTTGGTATTTTTTCGAATATATTGGTCATAGCGAATGGTATAAGAAGACGTCATACAGTTAAGCATTACAGTAATTACTTCGTTATAAGCATGGCTTTAGCAGATCTCGGAGTCGTCGCTGTCCAAGTCCCTGTCTCTATTTTTGAATTCACTTTGGGAATATCAATCAGTCAGTTTACGTGCAAGTACATATTACAGATGCGTGAAACATTTCAAGGGGCAGCCATTTTCAGCATATCTTTTTTGGCTCTCATCCGTGCGCGCCATATGATGTCATACCCAAAAAAGCAAATGTCAAAGCGTGCATGCGTATTAGTAGTGCTGGGAATATGGTTGTTAAGCTATTGCCTGTGTACTTTGCCTATGTACTATGTCTACAAAATTTTTCCCGATGGCCGCTGTGATGCAGATTGGAGGAACAAAGCTTTTAAAAAAGCATACATCACGTTGCTGTTTTGTATATTGCTTTTGCCGATGGCTGTCGCTACAATATCCTACACTTACGTCATGATTAAGATCAGAAACATGTTTAACGAAACTTTGGCAAAGAGAAAAAATGTCACACTGTTGTTGTTTTTTTTGGTTTTATCTTGTTGGATGAGCTACGTTCCAATGGCTGTTTACTTCATGCTTGCAATTCACACAGATGTCCATCTTAGTTTGTTTGTCTGGTCAGTTGCGTCGATATTTTTTGTTGGTGGTTCAGTTATTAATCCTGTGCTTGTATTGCTGACCATGCCTCGGGAATATGGTATTACTTGCAATCGTAACGCGCGTGTTGACCGCCGACCGCAGAGCCAACCGGAGTTTATATTGCGTGATGCATGTAGAGACTCAGTTCCAGAGACTGATACATGCAGCAAATCAGTTGTATAAACACACATAAGCACATAATAGATGATTTGCATTATATAGTTTGGACTAATTTTCTATCTTGACAAAACCCGTTTCCACTTAGAAAGAGCTTCTATATATCAGCAATAGCGAAAATGCAAAGCTATAATTGCGAAATGTTGTTAATACTGAAAACTTAGCCTTGCAAAACTTTACAGCTAGTTAGATTTTCCCAGTTTTTGTGATTTATTTCCTTGTTTCTGCTTGCCTACAAATAAAGTCAGCATATAATGCAAATGTCTTTTTGTCAGCAATGAAAGTTATTCTTTATGTATTCCAAAAAAATTCCATTTCAGTTCCTCTATTTTGCAAAACGTTTTTCAAAAGTTTACGTGGTGACATTATCCCCACCTAATGGTCAGGGGAAGTTTGTTCGTAGCCCTGTTAGCACTTATCCCAGATTAAAATTTTAACCTCCTGATCATTTGTAGTTTATACGCAGATCTGTTCAAGATCTTAGAAAACAAAATTTCATTGTGCCAGAGACGATTTCTGAAACAACCGGTTCAACTTGATAAAAGTACTGTTGCAGAGATCATTTGTAATGTACATTTACAAACTAACCAGCTTTGAACAAGTCACTGATCTGATAATACAAAACTGCATGGTAGAATATATTTGTAGAAATAAACTTAGGCCGCTTTCCTTCATACAGAAAAAACGGCCAGACCGGTCCTTTTGTATTTCAGTACAGACAGATTACTGGTATTTTAGAGTGTTTCAAGAACTCTCCATACGTTCAAGTATATCGTTGTTTACATGCCTATAGCACGGGAAATATAGTTTCATCGTTATATTCTTAACGAAATACTCTATTTCAATTCAAAATATGACCGGTCTGACCATGCATTTTGACCGCTAAATGGAAAGCGCCCCTAGTGTAATTTTATTATTAAAGCTACATAGTTACTATATCCAGTTTGTTATCAGATCAGTGGTACCAGTAAATATAATAAGACGAATGGTACCCAAACTTTGAAATTTCAATCATGAGGTAACGGACAAAAGTGTTTCTAATTGGCCAATGCGCCCAATGCAGGCTTTGGCCGCAAACTACGTAATAACGGAGACTTTATATGAAAGATCTGTAAAACACTGTCGCTTCGAAGTAAATGTCATTTTTAACAATGTATAATTGCATGGTTACATTATACATTGTACATAATACAACGGTTTTATACTGCTGTACATGCTTTTTGTAACGGTTTTATAAAGTTTACCTGTGTAAATTCTTAATGCCGTTTTCTACTAATTCAGTTTACTGAAACAGTGAGATTACTCGCTCCTGTTTTCAATGTTCATTAATTCAAGCTTCGCTCTCGTTATAACTGTCAGTTTCGCAGAAAAATTACACTTGCAATCTGACTGTTAAATAGACAGCGAGTATAGCTATATTTGAGCTCACGAAGGAGTTTCAACCTGAGCCAGTGTATAGTATATATATACGTGTTTAAATAACACTAGAACTAGAAGTTAGGCATACTTTGTAATTTTCATAAAAAATTTCAATATATCTGTCATAAAAAGTAATTCAAAAATGGTTGCCCTTCACAAACGCCTTGAAAGGTTGAATAGGAAAGCGGTCTCTTTGCATGCCCATCGCATAAAGACATGCAGCTTTCCATTACATTATATACATTCACTTTGCCTGCGCGGGTGAAACAGAAACGGTGCCACTTGATACGAAATTGGCCAAATTTTCTACGTTTCTCATTTTTCTGATCATAATTTCTAGGTCATATTAATTTAGTTAACTAAAATGAGTTCACGGTCTGTGCCACCATAGGTAAGATGACGCGTAACGCCATATTTGGAGTCCTAATATAAAGGAAGGTTTTTGAAGGATAACCTTTTCTTAAATAAATCATATATAGCTGTGTATTTTTTATAAGAAATATCTATATCCTAATGGGAATTTGTAAGCGTAACTCGTTGGTGTAAATATGTTTTAGGTTTTCTACATTGTCAAGCACAGGTAATATTAGTGCATGATCATTCCAGGTTGTAGTAATGTAGAACTAAGAATAGTCGACGACGAAAGTCGCTGAAGTCACGTTTTTTGACAAATAACGTAGAAAAATATTTAGCAAAGTTATTGTGAGTGTTCTCAACTTTGATTGCCAATGTTATAGAAAATTGCATGTATGATTAGAAAATACGAAGAAATGTTTCTCAACTTTTTGTTTGTGTTTTATTTGGTATCTTTTCCAAGAATTTTTTCCCAAGTCTTAACAATTGACCATGCAGGTTCTTATATATTTATAAGCGGACGAGGGTTGAAGATAAAATATTGGGTAAATGAATATGGGCTGGGGTAAAGGAAAAGGCAAATGGTGAAAAATAACTAACAACATTTTTCAATCGGTTAATAAGCCAGCGTTTTAAGGGAGCTTTTTCTACAAGTGAAAAACCAGGCCGGGGTATATTTACATCCTCTCGATGCTATACTTCATGGTTTAAAGCTATACAAATTTACAATTTGACAAAATTCCATGGATATTGGCAGGATATTGTTGGTTTTTGACCAAGTTTTTGACGTGTTTTTTTCCAGTTTGATTTTCCTTCCAGTTGCCATTGCTTCTCACAACCTATTAAGGGGTTTCTACGCCTATCCCAGGTTTGTCTCGGATCAATTGGCGTAAAAATTCACATAACTTTAACAAAATTAGTTGCTTTGGTAGCAGAGCTCAAGTTTTTGGCATAATTGCAGATAAAAACACGAATGATTCATGAAAAACGCATAAGAGACATTATTATAAGGGACATTTATTAATATCATTCATATATTTATATATCATCATCAAAATTATATAAGTTCAACGAATTCAAATTATATATATGAGATATAGATCTAAATATTTCTTGATGCTGATTGGCTTAACTAAGCGCAATTAGTATAAGTATGCTTATCACGGGCAGTTTAACCTCCAATAGGCAGTAGCGAGCATAAAAAATATATATACTCGCAATTTATATTTGCACTTAGATTAAACCAATGGAGACTGCAATAAAATGCACAAGCATCAAGAAATTTTCTCATCTATATTATACATAGTATAAATATATATTATATACAAAAACTTTCTACGTGGCTTGCGCAGTCCCGCTTTACTTTGCTGCCATAGCATGTAGTAAGTTAACAGAAATGAGATATTTGTTTTATATATATGTACAAGTCTTTACGAATCATTTCATAAATTTTAATTGTGATAAATCTATTTACAAATTATAATCAAACTGTGTTGCTGAGATTGAGTAAGATAGATGCATACACACGAAAAATCGTGCAGATTTAATACTGAGTAATATTTGTTTTTACTTTTCTGTCGCTTAATTAAGTCACTCGAAACGTGTCGCATGTTGGTGTGACTGTAAGTTGAACTTGTAGCACAGTCTATATAAGTGCTGTGAGAATTATATTTTAACAAAACTTAGTGTTTAATAGGTATTACGGTTATAGACACCAACAAGCTATATTAAACATTCATTTCAGGCCACGTAAAGTGAGCCGGAACATTCAAAAGGAAAATGGAAAGTAAAAATAATTTGTTTAATTGAAGTAGAGGAAAAAAATGTTCTTGTTGATGCAAGTCAAATACAGACCCAGTTTAAATTGAATAATTGTTGAAAAGGCGTGAGATTTGTTCGTGTGTCTGAAGTATGCGTCTAGTTTGAATTTTATACATATTATATATATTAAGAAGATCGATATAAATACATAGTCACTTCATTTTTATGAAGCAGATTTCTATATACATGACTGTTGTCTTTTGCATGCACTTATAATATATTTATATAATGTAAAATACACAAGATATATAGTTTGGTCCATATACGCAATAAACTGATATGAAAATTAGGACTTGTGTACGTTGATATATTTACATATTATATGTGGTTAATTTATATTTAATGATTACGTTTTATAATAGCGATACATTCTGAACTCATCTTCAGATTTTAGGTTTCAAATATAATTGAATATAATTTTCAAGCAATGGACAAAAAATTTGTGTTGAATTGGGTCACCATGCATGCATTTAAGAATGGCATATCCATCCATGGGTAGGGAACAATACGAAAGTGAAAAAAAGGTGGAAGGCTCTGAAATAATTGAATAAACATTGACCTCATAACTATGATGGTATGTCCATGATTCCACCCGGCTGAGCCTTGATTTAGATTATTTCAGACAAAATCCCTGATAAGATAGGACTTGATAATTTAATGATACCATTCGAGTGTGGGTGAAAACGTTTCGGTGATAAAATTGGTGAAACTAATCTCTAACCTGGTTCCTTTTTCAACATAGATTCAAAAAAATCAGGACCAGGTTTTGAAATTGCCTTGTGGACGAACCATTCTTTACGGGAGGTGATCTTTGGAAAAATAGTTTGCAGTAAATACTAAAAAATAATACGCGATAAACGCTGTATGTTATACAAAGGGTCAGTGGTGTAGCCAGCCCGACAATTTAATACCACTAATCAGTATAGGAATCAGTATGGAAATTTTGATTTCATTATTCATTTTTTCTTCCGCAATTGTTTGCAAAGGTAACAACTCCCCTAAAAATTGGCTAAGGAATTAACCCCCCCCCTCCAAAGACAAATGGTTCGCCCAAAGACAATTACTAAAATGCAGACACGCAGGATAAATGTCTTCAGTATGGTAGGACTCCATTTCGGTCTTGAAGACGGATAGTTGACTTTACAATCTCATTTTGTACTGCGTTCGGTTCATCAACGCCAACACGTCGTTGTCGTTTACACTCGATGTCAAAACGATAATCTTTAGGCATCGTCAGCAACACTAGGACAGGGTTAAGAGCCGAACCACCAATAAATAAAACTGAAACAATTCGCCATATCTGCGGGTCTTGCTCTATATCCGAGTAGATACCCAAAAAAAGATAAATTGTTAACGGTGTATAGGTTATCCAACAGGATAGAATCAACACAATCATCAGCATCGCAATACTTCGATTTCTTTTTGTCAACCTTTCGGACTCAGGATCTGACCCAATATTCAAATTGGTAACTTTCAAGATGATAAACCCATACGAGATTGTCGCCACGACTAACGGCGAGATGAAGATGCAATTGATTATCGTGATGTGAATCCTCAATCTTACAAGATTGGGCCATTTAGGATCGCAAATACCATCCTCCGTGATTATATAAATACCATCATACAACGAGAAGGTAAAAAACAGAGCACTTATGATCCATATTGCCACAACAAGAATTTTGCTTGTCTTCTTTGAAAACTGTTTGAAAGGTTGGGTCGTTACTTGGCGAACTCGTAGGATGGCCAACGTGACAACACTGAAGATAGAAGCGCCCTGAAAGGTCTCACGTATTGGTACAATATAAGTACATATGAAAGTATTCATCCCTTTAAATCCCAACAGATACTCAACAAACATCAGAGGAATTGTGAAGACGATTACGCCAAAATCAGCAAAAGCCATGCTTACTACAAAGTCGTTACTGAAGTGTTTGATCAGCTTTCGTCTACGTATTCCATTGAATAGCACCATAGAATTCGCCCCTAAACCAATTACAAAGATAATACAGAACGCAACAAGTTGATCCTTTCGAAATCCTTCTGTTAAAATAGCGAATTCATCTGGTTTTTCGGTCGTATTGTTGGACATTTTACTTGCAGGGTTTTTCTAAAATAGAAATAAAACAATATTATATCAGTACATTGGAAATAAATGTGTAAATTGTTTGGAGTGATTTATAGGATGCCTTTCGATCGCTAGTCTTTCATACCTATAAATGAAATAAATTAAGATTTTGTGGCACTTCACTCGATGTAATATTTTAATAATTTTCTACAATGGCTTTGAAAATATTCATAATTTTGCATCAACTGTGGTATAACAACTGCCTAAAATAGACAAAACACTTCTCGACGTTTCGACCTGAGGGCCTTCGTCAGGAAAATTAGTAGGAGTTAGTAGTCATACTAATTAACTTAGTAGTCATACTAACTCTCTTGACGAAGGCCCTCAGGTCGAAACGTCGAGAAGTGTTTTGTCTATTTTAGGCAGTTGTTATACCACATTTGATGCTAAGTTATTTGAAGACGCTGCCACGCTTCTCCCAGGTTATATTGGAACGCATTCATAATTTTATCTTACTTTTTATCTGCGAGAGTACGGGCTAGGCAATCAGGTTGCTATAGATTTGTATTTCGCTGCGCTATACAGGCCTGCTATGCGTATATGAATTGCGTTTATATACGATCACAATATCACCTACGGACGTCGTAGACGGTAAATAACATGTATGCATGACATGTCATAAATTCTCTTTAACAATTGTTAGCTCAAAAGCTGTAATTCTATTACTTTCCAGCATTTTTACAACGGCTGAAAAACCACTATATCCGCAAAATTACATAGCTGATGTTTTGTTTTACATTTTGATTTTATTGATGCAAGAATAAAACGAGTTATCTATATATAAGAAGGAACCAACTGCATGTATTGCTTTAAGAAAAATTAAGGGATTTCTGGAATCGCAAACGACGCAAGTAAAGCATCTTACAGACGAGCAAGTTTTCTATGACAAGTTTCTATCTGACAAGTTTTAATTGTTCGTCTCTACGCCCAACTTTGACATTTTTTTTCTATGACAAGTACACTTGTTCACTATGACAAGTACACTTATTCAAAATCAAGCATATTTGATTCTGAACTGATGTATTTGTCACAGAAAAAATTGTCCGGCAAAGTACAAATTTTGCTCGTGTGTCTGAGTCAACAAAGAAAACTTGTTAAAGTAATGTGAGCACTTGTATTAGTTTGAAATAAAATAAAACATGTCATTGCCTCTAAAGTTCTCTTTCTAAAACATTAATTCGCGTAAAAAGGTCTTCGGACCCATTTGTGAATTTGCATATCCACCGCGCTGTGCCTTGATTCGGCACTATACCCCCCCCCCATTCCCTTTTAGAGGGAGAAAGCCTGGAAGCGAGTTTGAATTCAGCCCTGCATTCCCTGCATGTTTATTCTTGAGCAACTGCAGACACCATTGAGATGATTCATCGTCACAAACATGCTTCGCCCACAAACTATGATACGTCTATAGCACTATAGCTTTTATAAAAAGGTCTGTATAAAAATTTGTTTCGGCTCCATTGATCATAAACATGCATCAGCGAAATCAAGACCTGGTTAATAACACAGTTGATTCATGCAATACATGTCTGCTAGTTATTTGGCGGATAAAATGCTTTCGTTTTTTTTGGAAAAAATGTCTTTGAATAGTCGTAACTCGTTGTTATGCGAAATCCGACATATATGAAAACCAAATTACAACAAATGACGAGATGTGAATTACGACAACTGAATTATGTCATATGAAAACCAGGCTCAGTTAGTTTGCTATTGATATGGGTTTCACTTATGCATGTCGCCATTCGCAATGAATTCCCATCGTCAGTCTTTGCGGTATCAAGGTATACGATACGACATCCTCAACGGATCAGATCAGTCATAATAGGCTTATTTCGCAGAGCATTTTATTCATGTGCTGAATCTAAAAGATTTTTAATGTAACATCGGCGTCTAAATTACCCATTCAATGATCACCAACAATGAATCCTAGCACATCGCCGCGATCGAATACGACGTTTATACTGAAAATCTTGTTCAAATTTAGGTCGGGTCAGGCCTGGGCACGTAGTATAAACATACATAGTACGAACATTGCTCAAGGGTCGAATCAAAACTGATGTAGGTATATTAAGTTCGGCGCTTGAGAAGAGCGGCGTTTGACCCTATAGCCTAAGTTAATTTGGCAAACTCATTTGAGTAAGTAATGAGCATGCACGTTTGCAATGCAAAGAATGTTAAAGCAGTGTCGATCAAGGTTATATAAGTCTTTCAATGGCGCTTTAGTTACAAGAATATGATGCCTGCATGAGAGTCGTAAGTCAGTGAAGTTGGTCAAACGCGCGAGGATAGATTATTGAAACTTGGTCACCATTCACAAAACAACCAATAAATGCCGGAAACAACGCATATAATTTCCTGCAGGACTATAGCCAAGGTTGACACAAATATATTACATATATCTCCTTTTTTTATAGGCCTTTCGGTGTTCCCGACGCCATCGACAATGACTTAATTGTTTTCGCTATTAAAAAGTATTATTCTTGCCTATTGAAAAAAGGGATTTCATTGTTTTCACTTTTGTTGTATTTGCCTCACAGAGCAAAATCGTGTCACGAACCCTTAAGACTTATCTATAAAAGGTAACTATTAAACTATAGAGTACAGAAATACGAATGAGTTACGATTAATAAGTGGATCGTCTTTATACTTGATTGGGCTGGCAAACAAAATTACAGTAGCTATAAGTGTTTCGTTCGGTGAACACAAACCTAACGAGTTCGTTACAGTAACAATTTACCATAAATATTCAACTATATGGTCAGAATAACAATGTTAATCACTTGGCTCATTGTCAAAATACGTATCCAAAACAAACCAAGGAGAACTAGTGGTTTTCCATTTAAGAACCTCGTTCTAATTTCACCTTAGAAATATGATTACGCCTATGGAAACCATCCGTGAAAGATGTTACAGAAAATACTTCTCATGTCGACATGCATGTCGTTATAAATATTTCGTGACTTCTACGTATAACTTTTTTAGCTTTCATGTTATTCAAATTATTCAAGTCATGAGAAAAACCTGTACGATAGAAAGATAATTTGCTTTTCCTGCAGTTATATAGTAGCTGGAGGTATGATATGACGACATGCAAGCATGCTTCGTAAAGATGATTGAAGATATTTATATAAAAGTGTTGAGAAATATCTGCGTGAAATACGATCAATTTGTAGCATCTAGAAGCCTTGAGCAATGGCCATTTTTCATCACCGCGTAAAGAGCTTTCAAGATTGCATGCGTGTCCATAGTGGCTACGTACAGCCACAAGCATCGTCATTTAAGAATAATATAAGAACATTTACTGATTTAGTGGAATTTTTACGTACTAGACTAAAGACGTAGAGTTCTTATATAAAGGTTATAAAGACGCGAAAGCTGTACCTACGTCAATGAATTAAGCAATGCTGGTTTTATAAATATATATGAAATTAAATTTTAACTAACCTGTGACACTTCGTATTCTTTTGGCAAAACCTACAGACTACAGTATATAATTCTGAAAGTAATGACTTAATTAACGCAATCAAAATAGTTTTAAAATTATCCTTGAAGACATACGGTAGACAACATTCGCCATATTAATCCAGCATTGAGGAATGCGAAAAAATCTGTCTTACGCGGAATATATAGTATTTCCATATATAATAGTAGCGAGGAAAAACACAAAAAATGCGGCCTCATGTGGCTGCATACTTTTCGTTGTTCTCCGCAGTTTTGGATTAAAATCTATTTTTTTATTTAGAGGATTATTCTGAACAGAAACATAGCGCCTCTGCAAACACAAAGTCGTCACGAAAATATTTCGCACATGCACCTAAATAGAAAAAAGTATAAAATGAAAATGAAAATTCGTACATAGATTGAATTACTTTGTTTTTGAAATCATATATATATATAAATATATAGCCTGAATTGTTTTATAAAAAATCTAACTCTACATTCACTACTTACAACACCGTCAACCCGTAACCCATCACGCCGAGTTGGCAGAACAGTGGCTCATTACAAACACGAAGATCTGATCCTGCTCCTGCAGTCAATATTCTGTTGTTCGCTGAACTCTGATATTAATTTAAATCACAAACGATTTTTGTTGCTATCAAGCTTACAGAAATATTAATTACAGTCTATAACGACAACTTTACCCCATCTTTACTCTCATTGAACTGATTGGATGTACTATATGTAGGTATATTTGTGAAAAATGGAATTCGGTATAGTGAACGATCCTCTAAGCTTGAAGAGTGTATTGCCACAAAGTAAGAATTTCCACAGGAAAAATTTATTATAATAACTTTACAATATATAGGTATATTTATACACAGGAATGTGAGTATTGTATAGGAACTGATATACTCCTCTAAGAGAGAACGCTCCCACGATGTGCTTCCCCGTAAGATGTTGAAGCTACGTTCCGAAACCTTATAGGATTTCTTGCTATGTTGAAAATTTGAAGATAAAAGTGGAACAAGCGTGTCTTGCGCAAATTAGCCTCGGAATAAAAAATACTGACCAACCCTACACTGGCAGCTAGTGCATGCACGCCCGATAAAACTAAAATCACAACTCTGTTTCAAATCAATATGACCTGTGAACCCTCTCGTAGAAACTAAATAAGTCAGAGAAATCGCTAAAAAAAGATCAAGGGGCAACACATCGTAACAAAAGACAGAGATATTCGCCCCAAGTCATTCCGCTATTAATCGCACGCTATTTACCCGCGAGCTCAGAGCATACACGATTGCAATCTTGTGATCAACTCCTTTATAATCAATACCTTTCATTGGTAAACTCCAGTATTCAAACGATCATAATTGTATTATCTGACTATAGTAGCTAGTGGACAACTTGCATTTCATTTTATCCGGCCTTCCAAGCTTTAAGTATTTTGAATAAGGGAAAATTGTTTAACAAATGATTACACTAAAAACTTTCACCTCATCGTGAAGTCTGACAAGTATTTGTTTAATATTTATAGTTCATTGGGCTGACATCAACCGCAAATTTAAATACGCGGGTCTTGTAAAGCATGATGCTTAGAAATATGAATGATTTCCTCTTTAATTAAATAATTTCATTTCAATATTCATTTGATATTGCGCTGTCCTTTTTTCGCAAGGGAAAGACTTTTGACGAATCGTATTATGAAGTAATTGAACTATATCGCGTGATGGAATTTACGTAATTAGCGCAAAGATATTTGGTATGTGCTCCGATGGTTATAGTACCAGTACAGTACGTAGTTTCGTAATGAAAACCTATAGAAATGGTCAAACAAAATTGTTCATATTTAATAGACAGGCATGTGTTTCTCGACCACTTGTAGTTGTGCTTAAATAGAGATTAACTTGAACATACAGTGGCTTCCCGCTTCCGTTTGTGAGTGCATTTATATTAAGCGCATTAAAATATCTGCGCACCCAGACAACAAAAAAAAAATAATTATATGGCTTGTTAGGGAGATTTACATTTCATTGTAGCGTAAAGCTAGTGTACATTTTGAATAATTCCGGTTTCGTTCACATATGGCTGACATATTATTGCGACACAATGTCAAAACAACGTAAAATCGAAAGACATTAATCTGATGTTCTCACCTGATAAAAATACAAGAGTTACTAAAATGTTATTCTCTCTTCGACGTCTGGTGAATGTGTCTTTAGGCAGTATGATGTTGGCTAAATCGTCTTAGTATTTATTTATTTTTGTATTTCTCACTGTCTCTATGCAACCGCACCTACTCTTTACTGGCGAAGTATTTAGACAGCGACTGCGATTATAAGGAGGCCAAGTTCATTCGTGATGCACCCTAGTGTGTCAAATATGCGACACCTGTCATTGTCTTTATTGCGTTAGATGATGAAGAATGTTAGGCATTTCCCAAAAAACAAAGCAATGTGCGCTAAAATGTTATTAGACATGCTCAATTTTGTTTCAAAGCCAACTTAGGTAAATCAATGATAATAATTACTTGCCGAAACACTTGAAATATAACCATGGCGGTGAAACCACAGTACGAACAAGGAAATTCGGTAGATTAAAACGAAATCTATAAGTGTTTCTACTCTCATTACATTGCATATTTCTTCATGCGTAGGAAAAATTCCAAAACATCACGACGTTAAATAGTTATATCTGTTTGGAAAACCTGGCTTGTTTTTAGCACCCAAATATTTTCCAAAGTATTTCTTCCGTTTGGTCAGCCAGACAACTGATATTAAGATAACATTCCTTTCTTTTGTACTGACACGTAAATACAACCACATAAAACGTGAAGAAATAAACCTCTGGAAAGTTCCATTTAATTCAATTATGTGATAATACATTAAACCACACGGTTCGTATTTTTATCAAAACAAAATATGACGGACGTGCTTTCGATACGTTTTTCATTTCCATAAAATGGCTTGTTAGAGTTAGTGATTCTTAGCAGAAATTGTTATTGATCAATTAACTTAATATATACTTATCGTCAGTATAACAAACAAACATAATTAACTTGAAAGTGGACGTAGCTGACTGGTAGAAAGCCAGAAGGATACTACTTCAAAGGGCAGAAAACTATAATGGTACTAAATAAAAAATACTTTCCAAGTGGCATATGCCAAATCCAGTCATGACTTATTTCTGTGCACGGTTAAAATATATTGCGGCACGAAAAGTGCTCCAGTGAACATTTCTCAAAAATAATTCCTAACTTTTGCTACAATTACATATAGTAATGTAACTAATGTTTAAAAACTTACGTATCGAGTTCACAAATGTTACTTGTTTTTCAATGAAAGCAAACAGGAACTATCGGAATTGTGTAGGCGCGCCATTTAATTGGTATCTAACTATTTTTCAAAGCCAAAGCCAATTGGTAGGCTGCCAGAACTGTAGCGCAATAACTAATCTTCTGCAGACATACATAAATACTATTAATGATCGATAAGTCAATAACAAATCAGGGATTGGCCAACATTGATTACGTATCTACGTTTGTACACATTAATACATTTACTTTTAGACGGATCAAATGTAACGACAATTCAGACGACAGTAACAAAATGAAACAATGCAGCTGTAAACTGTAGCAATAAGAGTAACATTTATTTATAGTCGTATCATCGTTACCGGATCGAGATATCAAGAAATTCGTGTATTCCAATCATTGGAATAGTTTTTACTTACTATTACTACAACTTCTAATGAACGAATCAGGGCGTGTTTATCATAGTCACAGAGTAGCAGCTCTCGGCCAATGGAATTCCTTGAGTTTGTCTGTTTTGTAGCAATTTGTAAGGAAACTTTTTTCATAGAAGAACGTCGACCCTAGCCTTAATACTGCGATTTGTCTATCTATGTGATTTTACATTTCTGCGTCATGTTTCAGCATTGACAGACTAATGGCTCGCCGCCAAATTTCTCAAACACCAAACACGAAAGCACTCTCAACATTATAAAGTCTGCTGATTGGTCTAGTGACTTCCATGGTAATAAAGATTAAAGTCAATAAAGTAAACTGGAAGCCATAGCAAATCAATCAAGTTAAGATAATTGAGTGTTTTCCATTTATTACGGCTCTAAGCTTGGCATTTTTTTCGAGACTGCAAAAAAATACGGTGCTTGTTTCGGTACATCACGGGGGCAATGAAAAAAAGCTTGATGGTAGGTTTATCACTTGAAGCGTGTGTATATTATCGATCGTAAAGAAAACTGGATTAATTAACAACTATAAACATCATAAACGCACACTCATCGAGTTTCATTTTCAACCATATCAGATATGGGCGGTAAGATTTCAATGATCGACGATCTACCCAACATTCGAGCCATGAGACAAGATGAAAAGCCCTGTTTGCTCCTCAGATACCCAGGATACCATTACCCCAACCTCCACGATAAGTTATATCACTGATTTCGCTAATACTGAGTGATATTACTGATCTAGAAACTTCTCGAATTTCCAGTCTGGCAAACTGAATATATGTATATATGTACAATGGATTACACTAATTAAGGAAGGGGTGGTATTCATATGAATGTCTTATTCCAACTAGTTTTGCTTAAAAAATGAATACAGAATGATTTTTCAGTTATCCAAATTAAGTGCGTGGCTACGCTCTAAATTGAGACTGTGTGTTCGTCCTAAGTATGTTCATCTCAGTTCCCGAAACCACAATTTTTACAATGCACCTGAGAAGATTAAGAAAGTTTGTACGCTTCCAAACTAGATCGCCCCTCTTGACATATATAAATCGTTATGGACTTATGATATATATCATGCTTCACGACTTCGGAATCACACATCAGCCTCTTAATTAAATTATTTTGATTGAATTAAGGTATAGTACATTCAGTAATAAGGTAAAATATATATTTAGCTAATACTATATACAGTCCAACACACATGGTAACATTTACGATGAGTAAACCAGGAACTCTGCGTGATCCGCGCCTTAGATTGTTGTATTAACCTTGACTGTGAAAAAAATCCTAAATACCAAGCATAACTTACCAAAATAAAACTTTATATCAATGTTAATACCCCTTTGTTTCATTATTCAGCTGAATGTGCGCTCGGACTTTTTAAAGCCAGCCAAAGGAAATGTTTCATAAATTGATGATATAAAACTTTTTAACATAGGAACTCGTCAAAGATTCAATTTGTTTCAATTTCGTTTTCCGCCAACGAACATATACAAATATCCAGACACCTCTCATTTCTCAGAAATGAATGAAATATAATACCGATAAAATATTGTATCAAATGACTTATATAACAATAACAATACGTATATATATACTTTCCCTCAGGTATAATTAAAACTGGGATACGATTGCCATTTAAGATTAAGTTGTGTAATTGAGTAGTATAATCAAGTAATATACTACCCATATATAGTCGTTTTATTACAATTTAAATTAAGTCATGGGAAAATGAGCTGATGAGTTGAATTTGACCTTGTTCAAACTTGGGAATGCGTTGTTTTCCGCCAGATATATAGAGTTACTATTTTAAATAGGTTGTCGGAAAGGTCGATGTTTTGACCAAAAGTCGTAACTATATTTTGGGCTCTGCTTTAGGTCTGAAAAGGGACACTTTAAAGACGAGATTAGTTATCTAAAAATATTTGCATTATTGTTGTTTCTTAATTGCTCCTGCGGTAAAGTGAGACTTGGGAACACAAAAAATCTGTTCTGCACTTTTTTTAAACACCGAAAACAATAACATTTGCTGTCAACTCCTGTCACAATTGCCCATATCAAGTTACCCGTGAGAGGTTTCCTTGATTCATAAAAAGAAAAGCTCGTCTTCCAGTTAACCGCCCATGCAACTGCTGCTTTCCGGCACAGAAAACAAAATATAGTCCGCAGCACCTCAAGAGCTTAGGTCATTAACTTAAACATCAAATTTTACGTGCAACGACATTGTGAATATTTTTTCATCACGATTCAAGCATTTAAACGTTGAAGTAAGTTTACGTTCCTCTCCTTATTCGATGTTCTGCAAAGTTCCACAAAGCATAATTCCAACACTTTTTCTTTCATTTAAAGATCCTGGAAGCGCGACTAGGATTGAATTGTCCTTTCGTCATATATCTCCAAAGTAACAGGTTGTCGAGTCAGGAGGTCACTTACAGAAATGTTTCTATAGCACTTTTATATCTTGATTAGAATGACTAGACTATATAAAATCGCCTATCATGAAAAAAAATTATTTCCCACGGGTACTTTCAATTTTTCAAATTAAACGAATTCAACGACAACATATCAAGATTATAGTTTCCGAGAAACCGGAGACTGAAGCTTCTGAACGTTAGCGCTGAGAAACTTTCAGTTGCATGTTTAGAAATGAAGACAGATTACGAGGTACTTCCCTTTGTGCTAGCTATATCCACCTCTAAAGGCTTTATCCGACAGAAAATTAATTCTTAGTAATAACTGTTAAGAATATCTTGTTCCGGCTAAGACTTAGTATAATTCCTATATTTAACACTTTCTAATTTCTTCAAAGTCACACGGTGCTGACCGTACTCGGTCTGAGAGTCGGCACTTTTCATTACATGGTCACCATCAAACGAATCACGTCAACTTCAATAAGTTAGCTGGAGATATAAAGCTCCGAAGCTCTGTCTCAACCTGAGTTTACTGTATAAGCTAGGATATTTTCCAATCGTAAACAGGCTTAACCAGTTAGTTTGACCCTGATCAACCTATACCTTGAAAACTGCACGGCTTAAAGGAACCTTAATAGGGTAAGCGTGTTTACACTTGAAACCACCCTCAGCAGAGTTTTATTAATGAATTAATTCATGCCTGTGCATGTATATAAAAAAAATCACCCACGACCACACGATTTGAGGTTCAATCCACAACATTTTACTCATGCACGAACCACGACTATTTTTCTCGACTCACGATTTCCAATTCGCGACCCTGACCCACGACGGTTGTTCGTTTCAGTATTCCGGCTTTGGGTGTGCTAAAGTAGATCCGGCGTTGACAGAGTTATTATATATACATACACGTCAAGCATACTTTTTTATATTTTTCAGTAAAAACGAAATAGTGTCTATAGTGAGACGGGATGAATAATGTCTGTACATGCTGACATGAGTTTAAAAGTTCTCAAAACTCTTATCGTGAAATGCTTTGCGTTATCAACAGACAACATGACGTCAATTGCTTCAATGAGATGATGAACCATTGTCTTGTTACTATTGTTCTTAGCGCGGCGAAATTTAATACCAAGTTATAACAATCAACATAACAATAAAACTATTTTACTAAATCACTAAGCCTGATAGTCATGCATTAATCACTGGGGAATAAAGTGCGTTGCTATTTTGAGTAAATTCTTTTTGTCAACGGCGACAAAACAATACATCTCCGACTTTCGGTAATTAATGAGAATCAGGCCTTTGAATTTTGAGTATTAGCATGACAAATTACTAAACAATAGTGATTTTTCACTAATTAGTTAGCATATTTGTTCACAAATTCCTCTTCGGGAGAGAATTCCAGAATCACGTCAGGTGAAAAAAAAATAAACAAAATATTCATGTGATATCATCTAGTGGCTCCTTCAAACAGGAACTGATTTGTAATGGTATATTTACTGGTACCGATCTATCTGTATCGGTGATAGTATGCTACCATATGTATAGTAAAGTGCTCTACCTCACGATCTAATAAGCATTCAAAAACAGCAACAAAACTTGTTAAAAATAGAAGATAGGAAATAACTTCATGAAATTCTATACTCTGATTGACTAACATAGATTTCTATATTAGTATTGGTCTATCAAACATAATAAAATTCTTTAATATATATTTCTAAGAAATCCTATATATCGATTATTCGATCCTATTATGTAGCACAATTCTTCTCGTCGATGTTCGTAATTCACGATCAGACACGCCGTATCAATATATATATACAATGGAAGCTTTTGTGATGGTACAACTCCGTCATACCTGGATAATTTCTAGAAAGTGCTAGAGCATGTATAGAACTATAAGTTTTTTACGGTTTATCTAGCCCGATTTTATTCTATTACCATTTCAGGCTATGCTCATTTTTAAAGAGCTTATTGACCCATAAGGTAGTCTGGCTGGCTTTGAATAAGATAAATAAATATGTCAACTCCTTTGGTTGATTTGTTCCGCAAATCTTAGTTGATCCCCA